GTGTGTGAATGCCTGCCCGTGACTGTGTGTGTGAATGCCTGCCTGTGACTGTGTGTGTGAATGCCTGCCCGTGACTGTGTGTGTGACTGTCTGCCTGTGCCAGTATGTATTAATGTCTGCATGTCACCGAGTGTGTGTGACTGTGTGCTGCCTGTAACTATGTTACAGTCTGCCTTTAATTGTGTGTGTGTGACTGTCTGTAACTTTGTGTGTTACTGTCTACCTGCAGCTGTGAGTTTGACAGTGTGCAAGTGACTATGTGTTTGGTATGGTGTGCATGTGGCTGTATTTGACAGTATATGCGTATAACTGTGTACATCTGACTGTATCTGACTGTCTTCGCCCTGCAGTGAGTCGGCACATAACATCATCCAAGCATTGGCGTCATATTACAGGATGTGCAAGGGACGTGTGTATGAAGAGCACAGAGATCCCAGCAGCAACCACTGACTACCAGGGACTGAGGATCCACTCTAGCCCTCCCAGAGCAAGGTAGGTAGGCTGCCTGGACCTCTTAAGCGACCACTCTAGGCACCCAGACCACTTCAGCTTAATGAAGTGGTCTGGGTGCCAGGTCCAGCTAGGGTTAACCCATTTTTTCATAAACATAGCAGTTTCAGAGAAACTGCTATATTTATGAATGGGTTAAGCCTTCCCCTAATCCTCTAGTGGCTGTCTCATTGACAGCCACTAGAGGCGCTTGCGTGCTTCTCACAGTGAGAGCACGCCAGCGTCCATAGGAAAGCATTGTAAATGCTTTCCTATGCGACCGGCTGAATGCGCGCGCAGCTCTTGCCGCGCGTGCGCATTCAGCCGACGGGGAGGAGAGCCCGGCGCTGGAAAAAGGTAAGTTTTAACCCCTTTCCAGAGCCAGGCGCGAGGGGGCACCCTCAGGGCACTATAGTGCCAGGAAAACGAGTATGTTTTCCTGGCACTATAGTGGTCCTTTAATTATTAAATGTGTGTATGTATGTGATGTTTGTGTGTGTATATCCAATTATGTGTGTATCTCTGTAGTTAAGTGTGTGTGTGTATATACACACATTTAACTACAGAGATACACACAACCACAGACATACACAATCACAGACTCACACGCATACAATTACAAACACACATAATTGGATATACACACAATCACAGATATACACACACAGACATACACCTATTGTGTTATTTGTGTGTATATAAATGTGTATGTGTTTGGTACATAGCTCCCTTATTTGGTGTCCTTAAATATTCCAATCCCACATAAGGATAACAAATAAGGGCGTTATCTACTAAACAACTGAAATTAAGTTTTTGTTTTTGATTGATCTTTTAGCTGTTCAGTTGATAATTCTCGAAATTGGTGTTATGTGAGATTTCCATATTTAAAGATACCAATTAGTGTGCTGTTTAGCAGATATCTCCCTTATCCTTATTTGGTGTCCTTAAATATGGCAATCCCCCATAAGGATAGCAAATAGGAGAGTTATCTGATAAACAAAGATCGACGTTAACCCCTTAATGACGAGTGACGGACAAGGTCTGTCACTCAGGGAAACCCTTAACGACAAGTGACGGACCTCGTCCGTCACACAGTAAAATTCACCCCAGATCGCCGCGATCGCGGGGTTAATGGTGCTCCGGTCTGCCTTTGTATTAGAGGCAGACTGGGAGCACCTGATCAGGCTGCCCAGCACATGTGCTCGCTCTGATAGCCTGTCAGAGCGAGCACATGTGCTCAGTATACTCACCTTCCGCCTCCCTGCACATCCTGGTTCTGTGTGAAGTGCAGGGAGACAGAACAGTGCTGATCCTGCCCCCTGTTAAACATAAATAAAAAATAAAGTTTATTTAAAATCCCAACCCCCCTTTACCCATTTTAATAAAAAAAAAAAAATAACCCCTTCCCTGCCAATTGATCACAGACTACAGTGATCAATTGGCAGGGATTACATTTTACTATGATCTGATTTTTTTTAACCACTGAGGGTTAATTTTTTTTTTTTTTTTTAACCCTCAGGGGTTAAATTTATTTTAATTAATTTAAGTATTTTAAAATTATAAATTTAGCTAGCTGGTGTGGGTGGAAGTTAGTGGGGAATTGGGGGATTTGGCGTTAGGCTCACTAGGGGTTAACGTTAAAAAAAGTTTTAAAATAAGCTTTAAAAAGTTCAAAATTAAGTTAAAAAAGTTTTAATAACATTTAAGTTAAAAAAAAAAAAACCCCTTTAGCCAGTCCAAATAAAAGTTATCCCCTTCCCTGCCAGTCGATCACTGCCTACAGTGATCAAAATACAGATCACAGTATTATACTGTGATCTAATTTTTTTTAACCCCTGACAATTAACTTTTATTTATTTTTTAACCCTCAGGGGTTCAATTTATTGAATTAATTAATTTAAACATTTTATAACTATATATTTTGCTAGCTGGGGTGGGTGGGAGTTATGGGAAAGGGGGGAATTTACGGTTAGTGCTGCTTACTGCTAGTTAGGGGTTAACGGTAAAATAAAAGCTTATAAAAATTTTAAATCTGTAAAAAAAAAATTTAAGAAAGTTTAGGAAAGTTTAAAAAAAATTAATCAGCAAAACAAAAGTTTAAAAACTATTTTTTAAAAGTAAAAAAAAAAAAAAATACATTTTAAAAACGCTCACGACAGACAGACACCATGACAGACCCCCACACATACACCCCATGACACAGACAGGCACACCATAACGACACCATGACGGACACACACACACACACACACCATACAAACAGACACACCATAACAGACAAACTCACACTGACACATTACTAATACCTGCCAGGGGGAGGTCTGCTGGCGGCCGCTGGGGAGGTCTGCTGGGGGAGCTGCGCTTGCTCTCCCGCGTTGCTGAATGAGGCTGGCGCCGGAATATGACATCATCCCCAGCAGACCTCCCCAGCGGCCGCCAGTACAAGTCCCCAGCCGCCAACGGCCCACCGGGAAATTTCCCAGTATCCTGGTGGGCCAGTCCGGCCGCGCGCGTGCGTGCGTGCGTCTGTCTGAATATATGTCTATGTCATTATGAACGTATGTCTGTGTGTGTGGATGTCAGCATGTATATATGCCAGTATGTCCTCATGCATGTGGGTCTGTATGTATGTTAGTATGTGTGTCACTATGTATGCCTGTGTGTCTGAATATATGTGTGTGCATGTGTCTGTCCCTTTTGTATCAGTGTGTGTATTCCTGTGGGCGGGATCTGGAGGCGGACCCCAGACCCTGAGCCGAGTTAGGGGCCCCAAAATTTCTGGTGGCGTTCCTGATAGGGACTATGGACTAAAACCACTAAATTATGATGTATTGTGTTTTGTGATTAGAGTGTTCCTTACTCTAATAAAGAGGCAATACATGGATTGAGCAGTAACAAAATTAAATAGAATTTTAGGCATAGACCGAAATCCACAGTAACATCCCAAGCAGTAACCCTGGGCAGCCAAATGAAACCATGTTGAACAAAAAATATAAACGAATTGAAAAAAGGAATACAATCAGAAGATAAAAACATGGGTTGAACCAGGTGAAATATTTAGGAAAAGTTGAATTGACTAGTGAAAATTAGCAGGAAGGTATTCTATATTTAAGAGCCACTTTTGAACTTAAAAGTCTGCTCCACTGCAATCAAATGATCTTCCAACACACTGCTCAGTTTTGAATAATTAATTTTTTTAACCCATCAGACTGCAGTCAGACCAATGGGTCTCCTCGGCACATTGGGTGGTCGTTCTGGAACTGCTGAGTTTGGCATGGAGGATCTGGTGACAGAGTGAACCCCAATCCCATCGGTACAGTGGATTTTTGAGGATGGGTCACCATACCTTACTTGAGACCCATTGGGTTAAGTATAACATTAATGATGTGTGAACCGCGGAAGTTAATCGCTAATTAGGAGTAAACTAGAAGAGATTGCCAATAAAATTAACAACTCAGGTGGTGCTGGATTGCATTAATTCCAAGCTCTGGTTAACACAGCCAACGATGGTGAGAATTCCGAGCTCCGGTTAAAACGGCAAACGATGGTGAGAATTCCGAGCTCCGGTTAACACGGCCAACGATGGCAAGTATCCTGAGCTCCAGTTAACACGGCCAACGATGGCAAGAATCCCGAGCTCCGGTTAACACGGCCAACGATGGCAAGAATCCCGAGCTCCGGTTAACACGGCCAACGATGGCAAGAATCCCGAGCTCCGGTTAATACAGCCAACGATGATGAGAATCACGATGGCAAGAATCCCGAGCTCCGGTTAATACAGCCAACGATGGTGAGAATCCCGAGCTACGGTTCACACAGCCAATGATGGCGATAACTTCAAGCTCTAGTTACAACTAATAATTGTTAGGTCATTCCATGTTTATTTCTTAGCATTACACCCTCACCACGAGGTGGCACTCACAAAATGCAGCTGGTCTGCAGGATCAGACACAAATCAAGCCAAAATAATGGTTTTAAAGAAAGGAGAGAAAAATAAATTAAATAAAAATGTCAGCTGCAGTCAATAATGTGTCAATTTAGTGAATAAACCACACAGGGATCGTAGTGATAACCCTAATTTTTTATGGCAAGTAATTTGTAACAAATTACAATAAGTGTCCGACCAGCATCAATGTATTCGTTTACTTTTGTAAGAGATTAGGAAAAAAAAAAAAATAATAAAAAAAAAAAAGTTTTTAAAAAAATTATATGACTGCATTTTAAAGGGATCTCCATGCATTACATTCACAAACTGTTCCCTTTTCCAGTGACAAGAAAAGGCACAAAGGTCACATTGTTAAACAAATAGTCAAAAGCAAGGATTGAGGAGATCAGCCATACGTACTCACCAAAGCGGTGACCCCATACACGAAAAGCAAAACACAAAACACTAAAGACTTGTTTGGTTTCCTTTATTGTGCTAAATGTGCAGAGGCTGGAGGTAGCTGAACCCAATCAGATTGAAAACAAACCACCAACTAATTTCTAAAGGGGGTGGGGGGAAATAAAACAACAAATAAAGGTCATCTTTTATTTAAAATAAAAAGCATTTTTACATAGTTTTATGTCATAACAAAGCAGGTTTAAACACTATTTGTAGAAATTCTGACAACGCATTCCACTCTGACAATGCAACACAATAATACTTTAAATATGGGCGAGTACAAGCAATGCATCGCAAACCCTCGCTACTGAATGAGGCAGGACCATGTTTGATCAAACCGTTCAGCATCCTTTTTGATTGGCAGCCAGCCTGGTTAGTGGGACACAGAACAGTCTGGGACTATAGACATTTAGTGTTGCCGTTGATTTGCAGGTTATTCCCTGCTTGTAGAGGGTGTGGGGACCTGGCTACTCGCCCAGCTTGGCACCAGGGAATGTAAAATTCAGAGGTTAACTTAATTGTTCATTAAGGAGATTAATTAGGCCCACATCCAGCACTGGATAAAAGCATCATGGGTAATGGCGCCTTTAACAGGTCAGCTGCGTGAAGCCATCATTTCATAATTCAGCGGGTCTCTGCAGCCCAAATACCAGGTTCCCAAAGAGACCCTCAACATTTCATTAGGGTCACAAATATTAATATTGTAGTGAATAGCTTTAAATACTAGAAAAATGGAGGCATACATTCTTAAATGCAAAATATAAATTTTAAACGAAGGCACTATAGCTAAAGGAAATGCGTGAGCCGTTTAGAAGAAAAAAACAAACAAAAAAACTGTACAGTTTTATAAAATTTGTGTTTTTACATAAGTTACACAAAAACGTATACTTCATTAGACCTTTACTTCATATTATAATGAAATGTTGCATATCTGCTGGTAAATACTACATTTCTTTAATACTATATGGTAATCCACCCATGGCTCTAGAAACATTGCTGGGACTACATTTCCCAGAATCCTCAGAGTTGTAGTCCAGCAAAAGACAGAAGGCCATTGTAGGGTAGGCCTGCAGTAGACTGAAATAATAAAGCAGGACAAGACACCGGTCACAGGCACCAACATGGCAGATTCTTAATGGCCGCGGTATTTTTAATTTGATAGAGTAGCAGACGATTTCACGTTGACCCGGCATGTCGCAAAGACAAGTTAAAATCTTTCTTAAAGGCAGGAGGCAGTTTAAAAATCACGAGGTCAACTTGAGAAATTCAAAATATAAAAATACATGCAATGCACCTGATAAATAATATATTATATATCTTAAGCCCTGGATATTTATATAGATAATGGCTTCAAATTCTTAAGCTTTCCTTAGTATAACTTTTTTTGCGGTCACAAACAGTGTCCACTGTGCGGACTGATGAAAACTGAAAGATAAAAATCCTGGCTTTCCACTATGACAACTGCTGAAATTGCTACAGACGGTGGATGGTTGACAGAGTGCCAAGGGGATGCGAGACGCGTTGGTATGAGCGTTGTCTCGCTCTCCACTCGGTGATTGAAGTGCTTGATTGTGCACAGATCTTGTTAAACACAAATCTGTAAAATTAGACTGGATACATTTCAAGCACTTTATGGTGTCTGAATTGAAGCAGTTTTAAGGGGGTGGGGTGAGGGGGAATTGAGAGAAACAGCTCTGAGGAATTCATAGCAGTGGGCGGCTGGGTCAGGAACCATCACACCCAACCGCTTGTAAGCTTGAAGAACATTTCTTCATCTAGACTTTCGTTCTGGTCCTTTGCCCGAGTAGACAGGAAAATGTAACCGCCAATAAATTCGTGGACTGTTTTGCAGTCGACTTCTGTGCAGATAAAGGACAACCTCATTTCATCGGCAAACTCCACAGTCACCTAGGAAAAAAAAAAAAAAAAAAGTGCAATATTGAGATACAGTGACTATAATTAGATACACCAGAACCTTGCGTTTATCGGGACAAAAGCCAAGCAGTGTATAGACCGATCCCATAAATGGCTTTCACAGATATTGTGAAGACTTCACTCACACTTAGTGCACCGCATTACAGCCCCTCTGGTTTTAATTTAATAAAATGTTCTATTGATTAATTCTCTTCCTTAATATTTTCTATCTTTGTTGGTCACAATGTGTTCTAACATTGAGCTGCAGATCTGACCAAGCTCCTCTCTAGATTTTTTTTGCCCATTCTTTGTGAACTAAGGGATAATATTCAGGAATTCATTGGGAAGAACTTTGTTATTAGCAATAATCAGCACGGTTTTATGAAACATAGGTCATGTCAAACTAAGCTAATTGCATTCTACGAAGAAGTAAGTAGAAGTATAGATCAGAGTGTTGCAGTGGATGTGATCTACTTGGATTTTGCCAAGGCATTTGATACGGTTCCTCACAATAGATTAGTCTTCAAACTAAAAGAAATTGGTCTAGATGAATATTCTTGTTCTTGGGTAGAACATTGGCTTAAGGATAGAGTACAACGCGTTGTAATTAATGGTAAATTTTCAGGCTGGACAAAAGTGGTAAGTGGTGTCCCTCAGGGTTCTGTTTTGGGACCACTTCTATTTAACATATTTATAAATGATCTTGAAATAGGCATTGAAAGCCATGTATCAGTGTTTGCAGAGGACACAAAACTTTGTAACGTAATAAAATGTGAGCAGGATATTGCTTTGCTGCAGAGGGATTTGGATAGATTGGGGGATTGGGCACTAAAATGGCAGATTAGGGACGCCAGTTATACGAAAATACACGCAGAGGTGCGGATTTGATATGGCACATATCGCACACTAGGCTACCTGCCCTCGTCCTCTCCCTTGACGCGGAAAAGGCCTTCGATAGAGTACAATGGCCCTTTCTGTTCAAATTACTTCAAATGTACCCTTAGCAACACACAGCTAGATGACAAACAACAAGACAAATGTAAAAATAATCTAAGCCCACAACCTGAACGAAGTCATGTGGATTCCTAGAGCTAGTATCTGTTGCAAACCCTAGTTCCTAATGTACCTGCACGTTTTATCTGAAACACCTCTGCGCAGGCAACCATGAGCTTCCCATGAAACATGAATGACTACCTGCTTGTATCTGCAATGCCAAATACAAAAGAAGCATTTAAAACAAACCCGCCTTTGCGCAGGCAACCGAAGGAATACTGTGTTATATTAATGTTGCAGCCCCTGCGTGGGCAATCAATTGCCTTGTTATAAATCAGTTTGATGCCTAAATTCCTAATATGCTTAAAAATAAAAATATTTTTAAAAAACAAATTACTTCAAATGCAAGGCTTCCCAGAACCCTACATCACAGCAATAAAGGCCCTATACACGAACCTACAAGCACAAACCATAATTACAGGAGCACCAAAATCCCCATTCCAAGTGAGCAATGGAACGAGACAGGGCTGCCCCCTGTCACCACTCCTATTTGCGAAAGTTCTTGAGCCACTTCTACACCTCATCCGAGCTAACCCAAACATAAAAGGAGTGCACTTAGGAGATGAACAATTCAAAGTAGCTGCATACTCCTAACGCTCACAGACCCGACCCGATCAATGGCAAACCTAGAAAAGCTACTGCAGACATATGGAGACGTATCAGGATACAAAGTCAACCTCACTAAATCGACGGCACTGACGTTCCATATACCTGACCGGGAGGCACAACACATCAGACACACCTACCATATCAAAACCAACACAGACACACTCACGTATCTAGGCGTCAGACTCACAGCAGATCACAGCACACTATTTAAACATAATTACACTCCGCTGATCACGAAACTCAAGACGGACTTAGAAACCTGGACAGACAAACCCATCACGTGGCTAGGTCGCCTACACTCCATAAAAATGAACCTCTTACCAAGACTGCTATTCTTATTCCAAGCACTCCCGACTCGAGTGGCCAAGAGTGACCTAGCTGGCCTACAACAGGCAATAGACGCCTTTATCTGGCAGAGAAAGCGGCCAAGAATAGCCAAAAAAATACTGTATAACCCCAGGGGGAGAGGAGGCCTGGGTATGCCCCACCTCCACCATTACTATACTGCAGCCCAAGTCGCCCAAATAGCTCACTGGCACTGCCCCAAAAATCAACGCCGCTGGGTTGACATAGAATCCCTCATGACAGGCGCAGACCTCCCGCAGTTCCTCATATGGACACCAAGACAACACAGAACAATATTACGGACAGACTGCCCGGCCATCCTAAACTCCATTAGCTTATGGGACCAAATCGCTCAGAAATTCAAACTCACAAACCTCCCGTCCCCAATACTACGTAACAGAGCATTCCCACCGGGCCTAAGGGGACGAGATTTTAAAGGCATCAAAGCCACGAACCTACAACGCTATATTCACCTATATATAGACAACCAACTAGTAACATACCAACACTTACAAACCTTAGCCCCATTACAAACCCGCGACTTCTTCCGATATATACAATTACGGGATTTTGCACAAACCAATGAGGTCAAAATGGCAAATGCCAAGCCTCTTACCTTCTTTGAGCAAATCTGCCTAAAAGAAAGCATGCCAGCGAAACTAATCTCTCTGCTATACAACCACATATGCCTAGAATCAGGAACGTGGGGACCACAGACATACACAGACAAATGGGAAGCAGACCTGGGTGAAACGCTAGAGGGGACGGAGTGGCAAGACATATGTGAGGCGAACACAAAAGTGTCTATATGCACGACCCTACAGGAACAAGCATAAAATAATGCTCCGGTGGTATACAACACCAGTCAAGCAACATCACATGCAACTCTGCCCCACTGACACCTGTTGGCGACTATGTGGAGAAAAAGGCACATACATCCACATGTGGTGGCAATGCATCAAAGTAAAAGAGTTTTGGGGAAAAATAGTGGACATGCACACTAAAATCCTACACCGACAAATAACACTGGACCCTTGGGCATGCCTACTATCACGACCGACAAACGGACTAGACAAACACGACCAAAGACTTCTGAATATGCTCAATCTAGCAGCTCGCAGAGCACTGGCACAACACTGGATAAAACCAGAGACACCCCCAATATCTCTAGTAATTTCCAAAATCAGAGATAATTACTTAATGGACAAGATGACAGCTAACGTTCGGAACACTACCACCACATTTCAAAAGGTATGGGCCCTTTGGGAACAATATGATGAAAAACCATAAGACAAATGAGCACCCACTGAGCTGTGTGCTACTCACTCGTGCAGTTCTAGGATTTAACTCCTATTTTCTCTTGTTCTTTTTTCTTCTTGGGTATATGTTTTTTTGTGCATACAACAAATAAATAAAAAAATCTTTGACAGGCGAAAACTAAGCGACAACAGCCTCTGCGCAACCCACACGCAACATGTCTAAAACGTATATTATGTACACTAACAACCCAGATTTCCTTTCTGTAACACGACTAAAGCACATTTGAAAGATGGGCTTCTGCGTAAGCCAAAACTGTTATCACCTTCAATGTCTGTCAATGCAAAAATAAAGAATTGATAAAAAAAAAATAATGGCAGATTAAATTTAACGTAGAGAAATGCAAAGTTATGCACTTTGGAGTCAAGAATGCACAAACAACTTACACCCTAAATGGTAGCAAATTAGGGATAACCACACACAAGAAGGATTTGGGAATTGTTATAGACCACAAATTAGGCAGCAATATGCAATGTCAATCTGCTGTTGCTAAGGCCAGTAAGATTTTGTCATGTATAAATGCCTCTTTATAAATCGCTGGTAAGACCACACCTTGAATATGCTGTGCAATTTTGGGCGCCTGTTCTAAAGAAGGATATCATGGCACTGGAGAGGGTCCAGAGACGAGCTACAAAATTGATAAAAGGAATGGAGCATTTGTTATGAAGAAAGGTTAAAAAAAAATTAAATCTGTTTAGTTTGGAAAAACCCGCGCCTGAGAGGGGATATGATAACTTTATACAAATATATTCGGGGCCAGTACAAACCTTTATCTTGAAATCTATTCATAAACAGGGCTATACATAGGACACGAGGTCACACATTTAGACTGGAAGAAAGGAGATTTCATCTAAGGCAAAGAAAAGGTTTTTTTACAGTAAAAACAATAAGGATATGGAATTCTCTGTCAGAGTCCATACAGATGTTTAAACTGAAATTGGATAAATACTTACAAAAACATAACATACAGTGATATAATTTCTAATTAGTGGGGTAATAGCTGCTTGATCCAAGGAGACATCGGGCTGCCATTTTGGGGTCAAGAAGGAATTTTTTCCTAGTTTGTGGCAAAATTGGAAGCGCTTCAGATCAGGTTTTTTGCCTTCTTTTGGATCAACAGCAACAACATTTGTGAGGAAGTTGAACTTGATGGACGCAAGTCTCTTTTCAGCTATGTAACTATGTAACTATGGACCGTATGGTAAAATGGCTCTGTGTGGAAGCACTGCGGTTCTTTTTGGATAACAGTCCCTTAGATGCTTCCTGTCCTGCTGGCTCTAGGAGAGCTGCAGTTTAACCAGCAGACTGGTAGCACAACTAATGTCAGAGGAAACATGCGCACATTGTGTCATTGATCTGCAGAACGGCACCATTGTTATTACAAGATATATGGAGACAGGTTTGTTATCCGTTAAAGATTCCCGACTGCTCCTGCATATTTACCTCCTGTGTACAGACCTAGCATTTCTATTTCACCAGGAGTCAACGTTGACCATGAAATACTAAGTGTTCATGCAGCCACGCTTTTGGAAGGTTTCAGATTTTCCACTTAATACATTTTCAACATGTGAAGATCTGAATTGAACCCCTGAGAGTGATGGGAGTCAGACGCGGAGCTAGCAGAGTTACCATTTTAATTTCCCAGTTGACGTTCCATTGTTTCATATTGCTGAAACGCCAGGTCTTAATGGCATCGCCGGTGCTTGCGTCCATTCGGATCAGTCTGTTATAAGCGATTCCAATCAATTCTTCCTTTTTACCTCCTTGAAATCTGCAGAAAAACCAACAAATGCAGCAAATGTTCTCATTCAAACAAGGTATTTAAACACAACCCCCCTCTAATACTACGATACTCACAGCATAAAACACCCCTGTGACGAAGTGCCCTTCACCACTTGTGCCTACTACTGGCTAGCCTCCTGCCTTCCGACTATGGCCCCTGTGCTGATAGCGGTATTTTCCCCTGCAGAAAGGTTTATTTGTGTATTTCTGCCGGGGCGTTCGGGACTTTCAGTATGTGAGTAGTGCTACCCCAGATAGCTATGCCATGGAGCCTAACAAAAGACTATGGAAAAGACGTTGACTCCATGGCGATTGAACTGTATGTATGTTATCTGCGTGCCATTCGGTAATAAAGTGCGCTCAGATCCAAGCTATCTGGGGATATGTTGCATATATACTTTTATGTAGTAATTGTAACATTGTTTAATTTTATGTCTTTTTGTAACCATGTGGTTAATGGAGTCTTGCCTCTGTCCTGGGAGATAATTTGGAAGTAATCAAATTATCTCCAGGATAGAGAGGAGGGATTGTGATGTCACTGGTTTGTTTGTATGTGTCCCATTGTTCCATCAGGTCTCCTAGGGGAGTGTCCACCTGGGGGACACTTGCATAAATACCAGGCAGGTAGCCCTCAATAAACCAGACCTACTTGCACCTTTCTTGAAGCCTTGGCTCATGCTTGGGGGAAGGGATACCTACACTCTGGGGATTGCTATAATTACTTACTCCCCAGAGTACCTCCCGCCCCCACCCGCTAATACTACGATACTCACATCATGAAATCCCGCACCCCCACTAATACAATACTCACAGCATGAAATCCCGCCACCCCCGGTAATACTACGATACTCACAGCATGAAATCCCGCCACCCCCTGTAATGCTACGATATTCAGAGCATGAAATCCCGCCCCCGCTAATACTACGATACGATACGATACAGCATAATCCCCCCCGCTAATACGATACTCACAGCATAATCCCCCCGCTAATACTACAATACTCACAGCATGAAATCCCGCCCCCCACTAATACTACGATACTCACAGCATGAAATCCCGCCCCCTGCTAATACTACGATACTCCCAGCATAATCCCCCCGCTAATACTACGATACTCACAGCATGAAATTCCACCCCCCGCTAATACTACGATACTCACAGCATGAAATCCCACCACCCGCTAATACTACGATACTCCCAGCATAATCCCCCCCCTAATACTACAATACACACAGCATGAAATCCCCCACTAATACTACGATACTCACAGTATGAAACTCCCCCCACTAATATTACAATAAACACTGCATAAAAGGCCCCCTGGCTAATACTATGATACTCACAGCATGAAATCCCCCCCACTAATACTACGATACTCACAGCATGAAATCCCGCCCCCGCTAATACGACGATACAGCATAATCCCCCCCCACTAATACTAAGATATTCACAGCATGAAATCCCGCCCCCTGCTAATACTACGATACAGCATAATCCCGCTAATACGAAGATACTCACAGCATAAAAGCCCTCCTGGCTAATACTATGATACTCACAGCATGACATCCCTTTTAGAATAATTGGAATAAAAATAGATTTCAATAGAAATTAGCTGTCAGCCGGTTCTGTTACTTCCTGGTTTGTTTAGCTCAGTAGAGAAACTCAAGAGGCAGAAATTGCTGAGAGCACCTGCCTTGGAAAGACTTGTCATTGAGCTGCATTGGGAAGTCTGTGATTGGACAGCCACAGAAAGTCTGGGCGGGGTTTGAAGGGGAGGGCATGCAAAGACTTGTCATTGAGCTGCATTGGGAAGTCTGTGATTGGACAGCCACAGAAAGTCTGGGCGGGGTTTGAAGGGGAGGGCATGCAAAGACTTCTCATTGAGCTGCATTGGGAAGTCTGTGCGACAAGAGAACTGAAGCTATTTTTAGATATATCCACAGTGGAAAACAATGCATCATTTTTGTATTTCGGCAGTAGAGTGTCTATTGACTCACCTGGCAAGGAAATGAGAGATCCCAAATTCAGGAAGAGACTGCCAGGCCTGGATAAATCTCATCTTTGCTTCTATAAGACTCATCTGAGCGACATTCTGATGTGCCTCTAGAATCCGCGCTGTGATCTAATAAAACCAGACAAAAAGGATAGAAAGTGAATAAATAAAATAGCACACAGCAACTCGGGAGCCGATCAATGCGCTAATTATTGGGATTAAAAATTGAATCGGTTTTCAAATCAAATGTGTTTTTTATTGGTTTTCACAATTTTCAGATAACAAAACATTTTATTTTTACACCAAGTGGATATCTGAATGCACAGCTTTCTCTAGACACACCGTCTATAAGCTTGAATATTAAAATAATGCACATAAAAACAAAAAGGTTAAAAATGTTGTATTTTTGTTGTGATATCAATAGCCTTGTTATGGCAACACAGCGAGTGTGAAACCCTTTGTTTGCTCTGCCCGTCTTGGTCCTAGATACATTGCCTGAGGTTCCATTTAGCAATGGATTCTACCGATCTGTGGTTTTGGGATTTTTTGTCCACTGACAGACTCCGACTGAAACTGCTTACACTTTTCTAAATCACTTACCGAGAGAAACAGTCAGTTTATACCAAGGTTTGAACACTTACTGCTGAGTGCTTTCACGTACTCGCTGTATCGCACACACCGTGTATAAAACAGATTAACTCCGTGCGAGTGCAGAGATTCTGGTTGTAGCCACAAAAACTAAAAAGCCTTGACCCGATCATCTATACAATGCACCCCACTGTCAGACACATGCATAGCAGCAAGACCGATCATTCATCACGTGTTTAGAACACCTTAGCAAAAAACCAAGAACATGCACTTCACACCAAAAACGATAAGAAAAGGATTACTCCATACACTGATCGCAGCCAGAAAATCGTGGTTAGCCAGGAAAGTTTAACAAAAAAACGAATATCGAGATTGAAGTCCGATGGATGGGATTGAGACTTACCAATTCTCTTACATAGCCCAGCTGCAGGCAGAAAAGGCGCAGGAATGAAACCCAGAAGGGGAAAAGAAAAAATAAATAAAGCAGTGAGGTTTATAAAGTATTCGCACTACACGCAAACATGCAAATCACATGACAAAGAATAGAAGACAGACAGCAAAGCCAGATATAGACTGCTGGGCGCATGAGAATGGATCGCACAGCACCGAGACTCCTAACCATGACCCGTTTATATAACAGCACCATAACGTGGAGCAATCATGGAAATGAAAGGAATGTCCCTGCAGATTACGCCACTTTCAGCATTTTAACCTCTATAGATATTCCACTGCAGGGAGATATTGAGTAGAAGATTTACCAAAATAAATATTTTTAAAGGATTCTGAGAAATGAAAAAAAAAAAAAAGAAGAGTGACTGTATAGAAGTTCAGGGTCCTTGCAATGGCTGGATCTTGGCTGTGGAGGGTAAATAGACAGAGGACATGTTTCAGTGGGGACACACGGGCTGCATTCCATTCATTCCCTGGGCACAGAGTTTCCGGTACAACTCTATGTCATGGAATAGTAAACGATGCAGAAGTCACATCCGACCTCGAAGATCCCACAATTTTGGACGTGTGCCCATACTCAAGTTGACCCTTTATGTGCCACACTGTCATTTCCTGTAGCAGGGCAGGGTGTTCGTTATTAATAGGACTGAGAGAATACTTTTGACCCGAGTGAAACAAGCAGGTGAACGTCCAGCATGGTATCAAGTTAAAATAGTATTTTTAAAATGTCCAGAGGGAGAGCTCCTGCTGTTTGATCCTGGAACTTGAAACTTTTACAGACACACAGACGGGAGAAACTACCGTTGCCCACTGTCCTGGTCTACACTAGAAGGCTTAAACTTTTTTCCACCATCAAAGCTGTAATACACCCAGCTGCCACCTTCTTGCCGCTCAAAGTGTCATTGTTTTTGCATGAGCCCAAGTTTTAGTACATTAAAATAAATTCCTATTAGAGTATTTAACCGTGAACAGTACATTAAAGGATCACTATAGGGTCAGGAACACAAGCATGTATTCCCAATCCTATAGTGTTAACACCACCATCTAGCCCCCGATGGGCCCCTCATGCCTCCATAAATATAGCAAAATCTTACTGTATTCATGCCTGAAGCTGTAGATCTGCATGCCCTTTGCCTCAGAAAAACCAAGCAGTTGTGGTGAAACCAACCTCGCCACTGGGCATTGGAGAAGACGGATTGCCAGCCTCCTGCCATGTGACTATGGCCCCTGGGATGTATTGCCTGCTTTCCTGTACTGCTGAAGTTTGCTACCAACTAGGTGGATTTGGCTATGGAGCTTGTCTAGTGCCCTCTGTTGGTAGCAACAGCAATATGCACTACCTGAATAGCAAGACTGGTTCATTTACATATTTACCCATATTCGGGTAGATTTGCATATTGCTAATTCTGCAGGCACGTGAGATATTTTCTGTTAATAGTCTCCCCCACCTCTTTAAAAATATGCCATTGTGTTACAATAAGTCACTGTATGTTGCCTGCTATGATTTGACTGTCATTTTATTGACTTTTCCCAGCAATGTTAATGTAATGACCATATGGGCTAGTCCCAAGTAAAGAAAGTTTTAGACAGTTCTACTTCACCCTCAATCTAGAGTCTTGTCTCTTATTGGGGGAATTGCTATATCACTACAAGGGATTGCTATGCTCTGCATGCTCCCTTGGATAACTACTAAGCTCTTTTAAGAGCTTGTTCCGGTCTTGCTCTCTGAAGGAGTCTATGGTGGTTATGGTGTTGGCTGGAGTGCTTGGAGCCCTCAGGAAGCGCTAGGAGCATCCAATAATGGAGGTACCCAGTCGGGGTGCCAGGTGATCTGTTACAGCAATCTGCTGACATCAGAAGTGGTAGCCTGATCCAATCACAATGCTTCCCCATAGAATTGGCTGAGACTGACTGTGACAGATCTCTCTGTCTTGAACTTACAGAGACTTCTCGATCATTCGCTGGTTCGATTCAACTTTTGCCGTTCATGTGGACTCTATACCATTCCCTTTTTTTTTTTTTTACTACTGAAAAAAAATAAACTCCCGAATGGCCGGCCACCCAGTAGAGAAGTGTGCTGCTGATTAACCTCTTGGCCCCATTTGAACGTTGAGGTTAACCGCAGACACCTTTTAGTTGATGCCTGTAGCTGGGTGGCCGCCATTCGTATCCCGAACACGAGGTCGCGGCCATTTTAAATCTGCGAACGCTCAGCGGTGTTCGACGGTAAACCCATGGAACTCAAAACAGACACTTTTTGGCCCGAACACCGCTGAAGCAGCCGACCTCCCTTTTCCTTCGGTAGAGAACTCCTGAAAATCCCTCTATTCGGTATTTTGTCCACGAATAAGCCACACCCTAGATGGCCATCCCATGGAGTCTATTCGTATGGAGAACAGACTTTGTGAACACTTTGACTCCACGGCGATTGGACTGTGTGCATAGGATCGGAGCGCTATTCGGTACTTTTGTGCGCTCAGATCCCAGCTATCTGGGGGCACGTTGAATGCCTGTATTATGTACAGTTATTGTAAATTTATATATTTTTATGCATTTTGTTATAGTAATTTAAAACGGCGTTTGGTCTCTGTCCAGGGAGATAATTGAATTTCTTCACAATTATCTCCCGGGCAGAGCAGAGGGTAATTAAAGGGGCATGGCTACATGTGTAACACTGTGATTGGTTGTTGTAATGTCCTTGTCACAGTCTCCCATCTGGTCCCCTACGGGAGTGTCCACCAGGTGGGAGACCTGCATAAATACTGGGCAGGTAGCCCTCAGTAAAACAGATTCCTGCTGACCCTCAATACGGAGCTTTGTCTCATCATTGGGGGGGATTATTCGTATGGATTATGCTTGTTTGACTATTTGGGAGACTGATTCGTGTGATTGTTGTTCAGCTGTTTTTGGAGACCAACGGGTTCGTGTGATTGCGGGTCTGCAGTTTGGAGTGCTCAGTAGCTACCTCTGCATTCAGTATGGGAACGTCCTATACGGCAGTATCCCCTCTCCTACCGGGGGAGCCGTAACACTCGAAAAGAGGCAGAACCAGCATGATTCAAACACAGCCCTGGCCAATCAGCATCTCCTCAGAGAGATACATTGAATCTCTATGAGGAAAGTTCAGTGTCTGCATGCAGAGGGAGGAGATACTGAATGTTTGGATGCATTTTAGGCAGCCATGACCCAGGAAGGATCTCTAACAGCCATCTGAGGAGTGGCCAGTGAAGTTATCACTAGGCTGTAATGTAAACCTTGCATTTTCTCTGAAAAGACAGTGTTTACAGCAAAAAGCCAGAAGGTAATGATTCTACTCACCAGAACAAATTCAATAAGCTGTAGTTGTTCTGGTGACTATAGTGTCCCTTTAAGCTTCCTCAAGCTGTTTTCAGTGGTCTCCATGTTATTACTCATTCACACAGAAAGGGTGAGCGCTTCAATTGGTTTAGACACAGTCAAGCGGTTTAATAGGTTAATGGGTAACTGTGGAATGATTGCTGGTGCAAGAGGTCTGAGCATGTCAACCTCTGCTGATATCCTGGAATTTTAACAGAAAAGTCTTTAGAATTTAGAGACAAACTGGTATGAAAACCAAACACCGAGCTTCAGCTCTGTGGGTTAAAGAGAGGGGCTAGAGAAGAATGGGTGGCCCGATTCTGGCTGACAGGAAGGCAACTAACTAATAAGGAAGCTTTAACATGGAGGAATGTCTCTGACCACTTGTTGAAGGATGGGCTACAACAGCAGATGACCACACTGCTCGCCAGTCCCGTCAGCGAGAACAAGAAACTGCGGGGAGCGTGTGAACACAGGCAGCAGAACTGAACAGAAGAGGACTTAAAACATCACTTGGTTATTAACATTTCTGCTGTTTGACGGTAAGGTCAGAATGCAAAGTGTCCATGGACCCATTATTTCAGCAGTTCTGGCTGGCGAGGGAAGAATTTCCTGGGACAGATTAGCATTGTTTAAATGCCACAGCCTGCCATGGTGTTATCGCTGGCCACGTGTATCTGTGACTAGCCAGAATTGACTCATTTTCTAATGGCTACTTCCACTAGGAAAATTTGTGATTTCAATAAACACACATCAATGTGTTGTCCTCAAATGGACACCGCGGTCACCAGATCAGATTTGGAACGTGGTGGAATCAATAGTCATTGCAGAACCTCTACTAATGTTTAAGGAACCTCGCTAATATCATACTGCAAAGAAGTTAGGGTGCTCTGGGGCAAAGAGGGGTGTGACAATATTGAAAAGGTGACTAATCCCAATAGAACAATATTTTATATTCCATTGTGAGTAAAGGCAATTTATGTTCTGGAAAACACATTTACAAATAAATATATATATATACACATCTATATCTCTATCTTAACCTGCACTGCTCTTTAATTCTACTAAAAGTGGAAGGTGGGACACAGCAACAATCTCGGGAAGAAGATACAATAGTGAAACATGACATTGTCCTGCGGTCAAGCAGATTATTTTTAATAAACCCCTCCCCACCCCAGGGAGACTGTGGGCACATTCTAAAGATGCGAATACTGCTGAATGAACCCATACCTGTTTATTTTTGTACTTCTTTAAATAGCGAGGAGAAACCACACATTCCGGGTTAATGTCAGAGTTCATTTGGTCAGGGATAAGTGGTGGGTCTGGGTTTAAATGTTGCATCTTTAGAAAAGATAAGATGTTCTGGACTTCCAAGCTGTATGAGCTATCTGCCATGGTCTTGCCCTTTGATGCCAATCTGCAGGCTGCCATCCAGTTGGCATACTGCTTCTCCTGCAGGGTAGAAAAAATTACCATGAATACCAGATAGACACACCACCGCAGCAATGAACAATAGAAATACTTACATTATCGCAGCGCAGCCAGATCTCATGCATGCCCTCAGCAACTGGGATAAGAAGGCGAATGTTAAACTTCTGCCCAGAGATATTAACATCTGGCGTCACCTCACAACCTGCATTGGAAAAATAAAACACGATGGTCTGGTTAAAACATGTACAGAAGACCATGCTGAAGTTCATGTCATTCTCTATAGAGTTATGGATACATCAGGCAAATAAGTACAAGGCTTAAGGTTCACATCACTGAGCTGTATTGGTTTTTGTGCTTAGATTGATACTTAAAAAAAATAAAATAAAAAATAAAAAATCCAAAAAAAAAATAAATCACAGCTTTCCCTATATCCAACAGATCAATCAATCATCGTAGGGGAAATATTCTGACAGCGCACGATGGAGTATAAATAGCCAGAATCCAGGATGTGTAGCCAATGTGGTCACGTGAAAGCTGGATTTTAAAAAAAATAAAAAATAAAAATACCCCAAACCAAGATTATTCTAAATGAGTAAATGGACTAAGCCAGGCCAGCTCAAACATTCAGTCTGTCGATCACTGGATTGCGGAGTTAATCTCACAGAAAGCTATTCCAGACCAAAATTCTCCCTGACATCACGTTCCTATTTGGAGCTTTACCGCACAGTGAAACATTAAACAAGGAGCTACTCATTTACAAACCTTCCACAGACCAACGGGATTCTATACCGTCGTTATGACATCTACAGGGATACAGATTCCTCAACAAAACCAGCTTTAAATAAAGTGTTTCGACACGAACTCCCTCCCGCGAATGGGAACCATGATACTAGCCTCCGAGGGCAAGTAATCAAACTGTTTTAGGATTCACCTGAGGTCCACCTGATGCCAATCTCCACTGGAGCAGGAGCTCCTGCATGGAGCTTTTATTAGCCAAGCTAAGCTGTGCAGGACAGGATCATAGGTTGAGAGTGATCAGCTGAGAGTTCACAACCAATGAACAGCTCCCTGCACTTCAGAGCTCAGCTCAGACAGAGGTCCCAGTTAGGAGTGCTTTTTTTTCAATTATCCGGGGAGGACGCATTTGTTGTGAGCTGTAGTAGGCCCTGGAGCTATGGGTGGGTTTCATTAATTAGTAGGACACACTCCTGGTGGCCTGTAGTAGGTCTGGAGCTATGGTTGGGTTTCAGCAATTACCCTGGGAGGACACACTCCTTCTGGGCTATAGTAGGTCTATTCTAGAGCTACGGCTGGATTTCAGTAGTTGCCAAGGGAGGTTGCATTCCTGGTAGGCTGTAGTAGGTCTGGAGCTATGGCTGGGTTTCACCAATTACCCTGGAAGGACGCATTTGTGGTGGGCTGTAATAGGTCTGGAGCTATGGCTGGGTTTCAGCAATTACCCTGGGAGGACACACTCCTGGTGGGCTGTAGTAGGTCTGGAGCTTGGAACGCATGAAGCTCCTGACTGTCTTACCTCTCAAGTTCATTTGATGGACAGGAGTTCCACTGGATTCCTCCTTACTCTTATAACAGGAGATGGAGGTGTCTTTAAAGGTACACCAATACGGTTTGTATCCTTTCAGAGTGAGCTTCTTTGGCCTACAGTCAAATAAGAGGGGAAGGGGATGCACAGACATTGAAGAAGATTTTCACCTCTCATGGAAAAGATAAGGAAACCTAAATAAATAAATTTTTAGTACCAGTAAATCTATATTGATATTTTTAAAGTAGGGAGAGGGGGGAAAGAGAAAAGAAAAGGAAGGGAGGGGGGAAAGAGAAAAGGAAGGAGGGGGGAAAGAAAAGGAAGGAAGGGAGGGGAGAGAAAAGAAAAGGAAGGAAGGAGGGGGAAGAGAAAAGAAAAGGAAGGTGGAAGGAGGGGAAAGAGAGAAAAGAAAGCGAAGGAGGGTAGGGGAAAGAGAGAAAAATAGGAAGGGGAGAGCTTCAGAAAAGAATAGGAAGTTGGGAGAGCGAGAAAAAGAATAGGAAGGGGGGAGAGCGAGAAAAAGAATAGGAAGGGGGGAGAGCGAGAAAAAGAATAGGAAGGGGGGAGAGCGAGAAAAAGAATAGGAAGGGGGGAGAGCGAGAAAAAGAATAGGAAGGGGGGAGAGCGAGAAAAAGAATAGGAAGGGGGGAGAGCGAGAAAAAGAATAGGAAGGGGGGAGAGCGAGAAAAGAAAAGGCTGGAGAGAGAGAAAAGAGAGGGGGGTGGGGGAAAGAGTAGAGTGGACAGAAAACCAATTGGGAATATTTAGACCATAAGTCAGACTGTATAGGACCAGCACTATAAGGAACAAAAAGCGTTTACTCTGCAGACAGCTGTGAGAAGATTGCAGAAGCCGGATGTTAAACGAAGACGAAGGAACGTTTTAGCTCTAGGTTTAAGAACCCAGCTGGGTTAACCCCATCAGCGCCACCAAGTTGAATACATTCATTTACCGTTTCAGCAGCTGCATCAGCAACACGACACACAGGAAATGCTACATCAACACACAACCACAAGCAGAAACCGATGGATTGGCCGTCACAGCCACTGTTAGCAGCCATTACTCTGTGGATTCATTTTACATAGAGCTCAATACCCAACGCCTGGCATTTCATACTAATCACCCCTTCCCATGATCCTTTACCAAGTCATGTCACAGATCAAACGACCGTGTGGAACATGTAAATGCCAAGCAGCACGCCTGGAGACTATACGGGGTGTAACAAATCTTCTGAAGATTGCAGTGGCCACCAAGTATATTGTGGGTAATACAGTGCCTTGGCTACGTGCCAATTTTAAGAGCTAAACAGTATATAAACTGAATATATTTAACATTGTGGAGATATTCCTGGAGAAATATTCAGCACGTCAGACTGACCAGCCATTTAAAAGCCATAGATAGTGGGCAGATGGCACGACAGCCATCAACAGAGCCCGTATTATTGTTGTCAAAGTGACTTCTTCCTCCGTCTTGGAATGATGTCAGAATAAAAATAGCTCCGTGGAGGAAAACAGATTCTGAGCCAACGACCACTGAATACAAACACAAACTAGGACGTTGGCAGAAAAGCAATCCTCCGGCGAGTTCCTCCCACGGTTATAGGTTCAATTTCACAAACTATATTTGCTTAAAAGGCACCCGACACCCAGAAACTGTGGCATTATACAGAACATACCGACAGCCAGAGAGACAGCACGGAGGCATTATACAGAACATACCGACAGCTAGAGAGACAGCACGGAAGCATTATACAGAACATACCGACAGCCAGAGAGACAGCACGGAGGCATTATACAGAACATACCGACAGCCAGAGAGAGACAGCACGGAGGCATTATACAGAACATACCGACAGCCAGAGAGAGACAGCACGGAGGCATTATACAGAACATACCGACAGCCAGAGAGAGACAGCACGGAGGCATTATACAGAACATACCGACAGCCAGAGAGAGACAGCACGGAGGCATTATACAGAACATACCGACAGCCAGAGAGAGACAGCACGGAGGCATTATACAGAACATACCGACAGCCAGAGAGACAGCACGGAGGCATTATACAGAACATACCGACAGCCAGAGAGACAGCACGGAGGCATTATACAGAACATACCGACAGCCAGAGAGACAGCACGGAGGCATTATACAGAACATACCGACAGCCAGAGAGACAGCACGGAGGCATTATACAGAACATACCGACAGCCAGAGAGACAGCACGGAGGCATTATACAGAACATACCGACAGCCAGAGAGACAGCACGGAGGCATTATACAGAACATACCGACAGCCAGAGAGACAGCACGGAGGCATTATACAGAACATACCGACAGCCAGAGAGACAGCACGGAGGCATTATACAGAACATACCGACAGCCAGAGAGACAGCACGGAGGCATTATACAGAACATACCGACAGCCAGAGAGACAGCACGGAGGCATTATACAGAACATACCGACAGCCAGAGAGACAGCACGGAGGCATTATACAGAACATACCGACAGCCAGAGAGACAGCACGGAGGCATTATACAGAACATACCGACAGCCAGAGAGACAGCACGGAGGCATTATACAGAACATACCGACAGCCAGAGAGACAGCACGGAGGCATTATACAGAACATACATCCTTTTCACTGTGTTCATACGTCCCGATTCCTGTGTGTATTTACTGGCGTTTTGTATTCAACCACAATACTAACAGGCAAGTCTATGGAACACCTGGGATGGTTTTATCTCACTACATGGAGAAACACTACAGAATGGAGCCATTCATGGATAGTGGCCCTTTTACAGGGTTTAGAAAGGAATTAGGGAGGTAACTCATGGCTGGGCACGACATACAATCATTAAGCAGTGATTTGAGGGAGGGGGTGGGAGGGGTTGAAAGTGGGGTGCAGCTAAAGAATTTACTTACTTGAAGACCTTTAAGTAGTCGGTAAGTTCTGGAATAGAGGTAATGTCCCCCTAAAACAAAACATGTAAAGAACAAACATTTTAGAGAAGCTGAAGTCACTTGTCAATTTTGTAAAAATACAGAACATTCAGACAGGTTGTGAGAAGCTTAAATCACTATATCCAGGCTGTATTATCATACAGAGTGCCGTGCCACCAAACAGCCCCGGCACCCAGGGAAGAGGCGGCAAATTACAGCCAAATATTCACATTTTAAAATGCAAAAAAACATTTTAGTGAGTGGTTTAGAGCCCTGCACCTTTTAGGATCCATTTACTTGCCCCAACAGTTAACAGTTATTACCCCCATTATCCTGTTCTCCGACATCACTATGACATCACAGCACCCTCCTTCCTCTGTACCATACAGTACTCCTTGCTCAACTGAACGGTAACAGATTATAATGCCAGTTTTCTAGTGTCCGTAGTACATAGATTTACACAAATACATCTTAATTACCCTATTTTTCAAAAGAATTTTTAGAAAAAAAAATAAAAAATATGTACAGGAGACGCGAAACACACACACACAGAGCCACAAAGAGACAGGAGACAAGAAGCACACACACACACAGAGCCACAAAGAGACAGGAGACAAGAAGCACACACACACAGAGCCACAAAGAGACAGGAGACAAGAAGCACGGAGACAAGCAGCACACACACACAGAGCCACAAAGACAGGAGACAAGTAGCACATAGAGACACAAAGAAATGTTTAGAAGGCGCTCACCAGAATAGTGGAGGTTTTCCCTCCTTCCAAAGTGATCTCCAGATCAGAGAGTGCAGCATCGACCTCATCTACCTCTTTGTCGCTGTTATTGTAGTGATTTTCAGTTGACATCATAGAAAGTTTGTTTATATGATACTAAACAAAGTGATGAAAGAAAAAATTTTTTTTTATATATATATATATATATATAAAATTTAACGTTAAAACTTAAAACAAGTCCTACATTTGTAATTTTTTTTTTTTTTTTTTGAAAAGTTACACCCCCCATCGATGTGGAGGTACACCTCCCCCCTCCACCACCCCAATCGATGTGGAGGTAAACCCACACAATAGCAGATGCCCCTTTTTAATGGTCAGTAAACACAAAAAACCATCACCGCTACTCAGCAACGAGATTAGAGAGCCCGGAAATTGTAACTCTTCACTGCCAACGGGCACTTTCAGAGTGAAGAACCAGGATTACGGATTTGGGGGTTCGGGGTGCACACCAGTCAGCTGATCTCCCAAGTTACAATTATCACCAGGTAAAGTCACACAACCCATCAGGAGACAACATTTTCTTTGGGATGCAGTGGAGACTCTTTTTACATCACAAAATAAATGGTCAGGTTGGCGCAATGTGAGCTGCAGCAGGAGATGCTGGTCATGTGCGAAAAGGGTCGAAATTTACTTATTACTGGGTCTTTAAAGATCTTAATCAGACACAGAGGCACAAGAGTGTGAGGGAGTGTAACAGCAACACCCACCCTCCTCTCTTTCTCCCCCATGTAATATGAAGAGTATTTCATTAACGAACAACGTTTTCCTGGTGCTTTGGCCTCCCCCGGCCCAGTGCTTTCTCAGCTAGAGAGACCCTCCACCAGTTACAGGAGATTTGTGAATCCCACCGCTTATCCACCATCTACCCAAAGACATTTGCATCAAATCCCCAGCAGAGTAACGCAAACAGCACAGAAAGCAATGTGACAGACATCACAGGGATTACACCTTAAATTATTTGGATTTTTATATATTTACAATTAATTCTAGGTTGAAAATAAAGAATTTACATAGAAACATAGAATGTGACGGCAGATAAGAACCATTCGGCCCATCTAGTCTGCCCAATTTTCTAAATACTTTCATTAGTCTCTAGCCTTATCTTATAGTTAGGATAGCCTTATGCCTATCCCACGCATGCTTAAACTCCTTTACTGTGTTAACCTCTACCACTTCAGCTGGAAGGCTATTCCATGCATCCACTACCCTCTCAGTAAAGTAATACTTCCTGATATTATTTTTAAACCTTTGCCCCTCTAATTTAAGACTATGTCCTCTTTGCTGAAACAGTGATCTATAAACTGGAAGTCATGGCTGCTCTGAAAAGAGATTTGACCAGCAGAGTCCAACCATTGGCAGAGAGCTCTTCGACTACATTTCACAAAACTCTCAGCCAGCCATTGGCCAGAACTACAAAGTCCTGGAAGAAACCGGGTTATCTGCAGACACAGGCTCAGAATGGCTCCATATATGCAAGATTATAACCCCCACTAATCACAGATTACTGGCCCCAGTAATGCAGACACCCTTAAACCACACATTATGAAAAACTGCACCGATTGCATCACGCACCATGCAGTTTGCGATTCAAAAACCTTAGTTTGCCTTCTAACGTAACGAACGCGAATTGTAACCTTGAACGTCAGGCTGAGCCAATGAGACATCCAGCTAGTTACTAGATACAGGTGGACCGAGCAGTGACTGTGCCAACCCATCATTTAGCACATGATTAGAGTCTTCTAAATGTTTATATGGCACCAACATTGTCTATGGTGCAGAGTAATAGAGTTGGCATACAGGCAAAAAAAACAAATCCAACAAAAATATAAAATTGTACTTCGAAATGTTGTGACTGAAGGGTTATTGCCTAGAGTTCACATTTTGGAAATACTGTAAAACGCTGTTCTGGAAAGAATATGCAAAATATTAACTCGTCAAACGGTTTGGGGTTTTTAAAGGCGGCCAGCTGTGTGGTGTCTGCAAGAAAGTCCTTGTTTATCTTGTTACGGTTCAACTCCGCAGCCTATGAAGAAACCTGGAGTATGTGAAATGGCGGCAGGCTGATTCATCTCCAGGATCACATTTCGCACAGTGGAGGGGATCGTTAATGAAACCCAGTGAGTCAGCTGTATGGTTAACAGCGATGACCGGCTTACATTCCCAGACACCACTACTTGCTATTGGAACATGTGAGACTTTGTATTCCGATTCATAAGTCTACTCAAACCCACCCAGTTTGTCATCCCAAACACCCGCATGTGCCCACTTATACACAACCATGATAGAGTTCAGGGTTACACCCTAAACTAATCCTAAAAGGAGAAATATTTTATCCATTTTTATATATCTCTATTGCGCTTACTGTAAAAAAACAAAACAAAAAAAAACCACCTTTTCTTTGCCTTAGATGAAATCTCCTTTCTTCCAGCCTAAATGTGTGACCTCGTGTCCTATGTATAGCCCGGTTTATGAATAGATTTCCAGATAAAGGTTTGTACTGGCCCCAAATATATTTGTATAAAGTTATCATATCCCCTCTCAGGCACAATTTTTCCCAAAATAGAGAGATTTACATTTTTTTAGCCTTTCTTCATAACTAAAATGCTCCATTCCTTTTATCAATTTTTTAGCTCGTCTCTGGACTTTTTCTAGTGCCATGATGTATCTTTCTTTAGAACATGCGCCCAAAATTACACAGCATATTCAAGGTGTGGTTTTACCAGCGATTTATAAAGAGGCAAAATTATATTTTCAGTCCGAGAATTTATGCCCCTATTTATACATGACAAAACCTTACTGGCCTTAGCAACTGCAGATTGACATTGCACATTGTTGCATAGTTTGTTGTCTATAACAATTCCCAAATCCTTCTCGTGTGTGGTTATCCCTCATTCACTACCATTTAGGGTGTAAGTTGCTTGTCCATTCTTTACACCAAAGTGCATAACTTTGCATTTTTCAACATTAAACTTCTTCTGCCATTTGAGTGCTCAGCACCCCAATCTATCCAAATCACTCTGCAGCAAAGCAATATCCTGCTCACTTTATTACTTTACAAAGTTTTTTAGGGTGAAACCCAATTCCTGATGAATTTGATGAGAGAGAACCTGCGAGCGAGCAAGCCGCCTAGCGAGAAGCTCCTGTAAACACAAATCTCGGCAGCTGGTGATAAAGGCATTGCATTCTCTGTCAAAGCATGATCCTGCCCGCACCGTAACCGGCAGGCACACATTTCAGGAAAGTCGGGGAATCCAACCGCTGCGGATTACATACAGATGTGGAGAACAAACTTTGCCAAAATTTCAACAGCTGTCTCTGTGCGGACGTCAGATAATCCTCCAATTACAGGAGGAAACAGACTATGTTATAGTATCAGAAAATAAAAATATTAAACATCTCCCCACTCCCTGCGCTATACCTGCAGCGCTGCAAACATCATCATCTCCTCCTCTGTGCAGTCTATCTCCTCCAGTAGGATCGCCCATTTGGCTTGTTCGTATAACTGGTTGATCCGGATGGCGTCGTACTGAGACAAAACAAAACACGACACCAGTTACCACGTAGGCAGCCCTCACTCCCCTATAATACAGTTACACCCTCCCCCCAAGAATGGATGAGAGGCAAGTCATAAGGAGATGTACTTTACCTTTGGATTCAAGTCAAAAAAGCTGTAGTACTTAAATCGAAGTAGTAAGGCTTCATTTTCCTTAACATCCTGTTCCATTAATGATCTTGAGGAATCCAGCCATCTGCAAAACAGGTTGTTGTTAATCCCTCCACAACAAGTTTAACGCACGTCTCGAAATAGATTGTCAAGTTGTAGGTGGGACTAGAACAAACAAATAATAAAATGTAAAGGTACCCTTGGTTTATTTTTGCTTTGTCAAGAAGGGACTGAGGCTTGTAGAGTTTGGCCAAAATGTCAGGAGAGGTGATCGGTTGGCTGACGGCAAGTATGCCGGGATTTCCTTCAGACAAGGCACTGTCTCCAAACCAAGCAGACGTTGGGGAAAGGGGACTTCCGTCACGCGCGTCGTATGTGGGAGTCATGGTTTTACTGTACAAGCCAGGACTGGAATATATACTTCCTAATTTAGGAAAGAAAGACAAACCACACATTTTATTCTTGACAAGAGTCACTTGTCACAGAGCACAATCCATGACAAGACAGTTTCTGCATGCGACAGTGTCACCAAAGTAAAATGTAAAACCAAAAACACAGGCTTGAAACAGACAGTAAAAGTACAGCAGATCAGAAGGAACCCTGAACTCACCTTTCACCGGCCCAATATAAAGAACCTCAGTGCCTGGAGAAGATAGGAAAGAATGAAAGTAAAACCGCAGAGGACAGTGAGAAGACAGGACAGAACATCGGAACAGTAACAAAGTATAGAGTGCCTCAGGGGGTACACAGGACAAGGTCAGTGTTCCAGAACACAAAATGATCTGTTCCACCATAGTGTCTATGAAACCACGCACATGGTATGATGAACGGTTGGACCTGGCACACTAAACCTGCTGGAAGTTCACCCAAATCAAGGCCACAAATTATCTGGGGTCAGCCATGATTAAGAGTGGCCCATATGAGGTCCTAGTCTCTCCACAAACTAGTCAGATGATGTACTCACCAGAACCGGGGGTCAGTAAAGGCCCCTCAAGTTCGAGAATGTTATCTTCACATTGTTCTTCAATCTTTTTCTTTCTCTTCTTAGAGGGATCTCTTGGTTTTCGAAGAAGTGAAAGTTCCTCTGGATGTCTGATATCTGGGGAGTAATAAAACAAAAAGGTTTTATTAATTTTGCATAAATACAAATCGCTTTAAATGGACAATGGGCAAGAGGGTTTCATAAATTTTGATTGAGGCTTTCATGCAAAAGTACCAAGAGGAAGCCTTTTATGGCAAAGATGAACTACGTAGGACTTTATTTATATTGCACACATATTGCCTTTGTCTTGAAAATCTGCACATTTATAAAGAGTGAAAGAGCATACGTGGCTAACCCTTAAAAAGGAGTTTTTGAATCTCATCTGCCGCTGGCTGCCCAGTCCCCAATTTCGTCATATCCCTCGATAACAGTGTCACAGGTGGCGTTCCGAAGGTAGATCTTTGGGATGGCAGGAGGTAGTGATGTTTTACTGGAAGTAACTTAAGGAGCAGATGCAGGCTACTAGAGCATGAGACGGAGGTTTTCTCATGGAGGCAAAACATGACGGCTTCTTATAGGACGTAGAAAGGCAGTATCCAGTCGAAGAGCAGGAGGCGTTGGAGGACGAACAGGGCAAAGTGTGCTAAAATGCCCTCTTTCTCCACAGTAGAAACAGGCCCGGTCTTCTCCTCCGGTCTCTTTCTTCACGTGTCACTTTGAGTCCTTGTCGGTACTGCCTTGGAATCACCTTTCCTGCACAGTCCAGGTGTCTTATCTGGTCACCTTGGACTGTATCTGCTCACCATTGCAAACTATTTACGCTACAGACTCCCATCTCCGGTAAGAACCCTGACATGTAGTAATAGCCGTCTCACAAAGCTAGTTTCATGTGACCATGCCGACACATGAATTTCAATACTGGCATTAACATAATTAATCAGGAAGAAGAGATGCCGACCCACTCACCGCCCTACTACAGTCTTCGTTCATGCAGTAACTGTGTGAGAGGAGAATTCTATGTAGTTTAGAAGACACTCTTACAACAGACAGACATTTTTCCTAGCAGGAGGTTGGATTATTTAATGGTTTTCAGTGACAGTTGGGGGAGGGGGATTTTTTTTGACGCTTTCCACCTCTGACAAACCAAAGACTATATAAAGAAAATATCGCCGGTGTGAGGTCAATGGACAAGTATTAAGAGGTTGTGTATTTAAACTGGCAGTAACTTTCCATTTTCCAAAGTCTAGAAACAACAAACATTACAAATAGAGAAAACATTTCACCTCCTTTTATGGGGAAAGTGGATTTACAAACGCTTGTGCAATACTTGACAGAGGAGGAGGTATTCAGGCCTTGGGACATACAGACCGCACGAGGCTCGGTGCCTGCTGGAGTCAGAGAAGAGTGGAATCGATTTTAAAAACACCACATTCTGAACTTTAACACGAAGGCATCGCTGGCTTCTAATAAGCACTCAGTAAGAAGGTTTTAACGGAATAAGGTGGATCACAGAGAGACTCTGGGTAAACCAATTTATGGCACATTATTAGGGACGACACAAAACCTTCTGCCAGCAGATTAGTGGATTTAACTTTCACAAGCCTTGCGGGTAACAAAAAGCGGAGCTGACAATTCTACAGTTTGTGTACTAACCGACTGAGCCCTCTTTTCACCACATGGGAGATTCTAGGGGAAACAGATCGCATTTACTGAAATCAGGAAAACCAGAACAATTCCCCCCCGCCACACCAATTACCATCTTATGTTTTTCACCCCTCTCCCCCATTTTAACGTTATATTAAAGAAAAGTAGTTTTAGAAAGCTTGCTTGTTACATAAAGCGGTGATAAGGAAGTCAATATGGAATTTCCTTTCATCGTATTGTACATGCTGAGAGCAAAGTTACCCAGAGCTGGATTAAAATAGACTCCGATCTAGGGCAGAGCTGGGGAGGCTGGATTAGAATAGACTCAGAGCTAGGGCAGAGATGGGGAGGCTGGATTAGAATAGACTCAGAGCTAGGGCAGAGATGGGGAGGCTGGATTAGAATAGACTCAGAGCTAGGGCAGAGATGGGGAGGCTGGATTAGAATAGACTCAGAGCTAGGGCAGAGATGGGGAGGCTGGATTAGAATAGACTCAGAGCTAGAGTCGAGATGGGAATGCCAAGGGTGGAGTTTTAGGATCTCAAGTAGATACAAAGATAACAGTTACAAGCTAGTAAACCATTCAATGATTTATCAGAATAAGAGATAAGTGACCGGTCTTCCTACCATGTACCTAACCTTTCCAGGGCCAAAGGAGGCACAACAAACCGGATGATGAAAGTTAATGAAAACGTGGATCACATTTACGTATTACAGAGAAGATCCATCAGTCTGAGTCCAGGCGTACTTTGGATAATACATTGCACACCACAGCCAAAGTTTCCAACGCCTACATATAAGCTACATAGCTACCTACCCAAACGTGTACCACCACTTTCTGATCCATCCGGTAACAAGTTAGATCGGCTTCTCTTATGGAATTGGTAAACGTACAGTGTATTTAGCACAGCTGAGAGTATATAAACATCCAATAATCAGGGGTTTTCTATTTTATTTTTTAAAGTCACCTTTTATGCACGCATGTCAAGACAATTACAGACACAAAGTCTTTAAGTTTTGTAATGTATTGCCCATCACATAACTGGCCAAAACAAGCTAGAAATGATAAAACCAGTTATTACCAAGTTATAAAAAGAATATAACATGTATTTGGTGGTTTCAGGTCAGCGATCACCATGGGTCACAGACAAGACCGTTGAAGGACCTGCAAACGGTAGGAATTCTAAATCAGCATGCGATGCAGACGCCATCATTCAGCCTTGTGTTAACCAATTGCGGCTCACGTGACAAACACTAGGGTAATCCTGCCAGTCACACTGAATACAAATCTAATAAACCAGTTCCGAAGCTGGGGTATTAACCAATTGAAATACCCCACTACGTAATGCTAGATTTGAATTAATTTAGTGCTAACCGGGTTTAGATTCACTTCTGGCAATTTCCCAACACCAACTGAAGTGCATCACTAGAATAATCCGGAACATCTTGCATACCCATGGATCAATCCATCTAAGATAGCTTTAATCACTCTGCTAATTCTGATATTAGAGGAAGCCATCCACGAGAGACTGACTGTCAGGAAACAAGGCCAAGTGACTCAGTAACAGATTACGGACAGAATCAGCAGAAATCCCGTACGGGAGAATACCCAAGGGGCTTCAACAGCAAGAAATGGGAGCATCCCCAATGGCATAGGGGGAGAGGGTGTCAAAAAATGTATTTATAAAATATTTTACCAGGAAGGTTACATTGAAATTGCTCTCATTCTCTAGTATGTCCTGGGTCCACAAAACATTGCATTGTTACACGATTACAAAAAAAAAAATACAATATACAAACAACACACACACACACACACACACACACACACACACACAAATTTAACACATAATGGGTAATAAATATATTCAACCATGACAGGTGCATTCTGTATTGAGGTATATTGCCATAGATCTCTTAAAAGACTTTAGATTGAATGGGGGCATGTTCTCAAGATCAAAGTAATCACGATAAACAGTCTGCCACTGGTACAATATGGAACAATCAGGGCTTAAAATCTGTTAGCCAACAACTAGCCAAGTCTTAAATGTTACTAGTCACGGCAAGACTGGAGGATCGCACTCACATGGGCTGAATATTCAATTGCCAATGGAGAGAGGCAATTTCAAACCCTGAAAAATTGTAAAACTCTCAAAGAAACTTCAGCGACAAGAAGGACCCCCTGCACCACTGGAAAGGGATGGTGTCTCCACCATTAGAACTGCAGCTCATCGCTCCTTTACATCACGTTTTAGTGCTTCTGGTAACTGGAATTTCTGCTCAGATTTTGTTAAAGCTGCTTCACACCAACATTTCCTGGCACCCAAAGCCCACACAACACAATAATTCGGAAACGTTCCTTCAGCATTACTAGACATTAGTGCTCGGCTGTGCGTTCTGGGATAAGCGGCCCCTGTGCTTGCAGCCAATCATGTTATTTAGATACAATGTGAGAACGAACATGTCACACTGTCCGCAGGCTGCAGAGTCACCTAGCTTTGGGGGAGAGACCAGGATTTAAAGATTTTTTTTTTTTTTTAAAAATGGTCTAGGAATGTGGAAGATGGCAGACTCCAGACACCAGAAGAGCTGCATTAAGTGGAACTTGTGATGGTGCTAAAAATTGGGCCCAGGGTAGATGGCGGGCATGCTGCATTTCTGGAGTTTATGAAGGATTACCATCCAGAAAAAAAATAAAATAAAAATAAAGTACCATGTCACAAGGATCTCATCTTAATCAGCTGTTTTCTCATTTAAAAAAAACCCCCCAAAACAGTAAAATGGAGGAATGTAATCTCGATTTGAAGGTCTTGAACAGGAAGTCACTAGAATGCAGGGAAATTTGCAAGAAAAAGAATCGGAAATCTTTAACATTTAAGAATGCTTTATACCAGAGACTTTAAGACTATAGAGAGAGGGCGGGCCTACAGCGGGCGACCAGCTACTAATGTTTGAAGCCCTGGCAGCAAAGACCAGGCTAACACCCTCAGACTTCTTTCGATACATCCAGATCAGGGATTTTGCACAACACAACCTAGCAAAAGCTGTAGCGCAGACTACACCCACAGGCTTCGAGAAAATGTGCCTAAAAGAAAACCCCCCGAAAGGGCTAGTTTCATCACTTTATGCACACCTTAGCTCCAATAACACTGACTGGGGGGCTCCACATTACACGACCCAGTGGGAATCAGATCTGGAAGAGGTCCTGGAGGGCACAGACTGGAGAGACATATGGGAGGCAAATAAGACCACCTTAATATGTGTTACACAACAGGAACAGGCATACAAAACCATGTTTAGATGGTATACTACCCCAGTGAAGCTACACCACATGCACAAAACCCCAGATGGCCTGTGCTGGAGGGGCTGCGGACACAAAGGAACGTATAAGCACATGTGGTGGGACTGCCCGAAGGCGCAGGCCTTCTGGAGGGAAGTGGGGAATCTACTAGACAGAGTGTTCCAGAGGAGGGTAGGCATAGACCCATGGGTGTGCCTGTTATCCAGACCAATGGAAGACTGGACAGGATGGGAGCAAAAACTCCTACGTAAAATCACCCTGGCAGCTAGGCTCACTATGGCACAGGCATGGCTTAAACCCGACATCCCACAGATCTGTATGGTGAAACACAAAATAAGAGACATCCAAGCCATGGACCATCTCACGGCACTGGTGAGAGGCACCATGAAAGCATATGAAAGGGTGTGGGAACCCTGGAAGGCCACGCATAGAGACGAATGAAACTAGAGCGGGGCAGAGGGCAGCGCTGCCCCTGGTCGACCCTGGGCGTGATCTGGGCGAAACTCCGGTCTCTGACCTCCCCCTTCCCCCCACCCCCCTATCCACTACTCTCTTTTCTCTCATGCTGTCGGGGGGCTGGGGCCTCGTGTCGACGCCATTCACCACAAGCGGAAAGCGACAAAATCAACGAGGCGTCGGGCCGGGGCCCCCGCTGCTCAGCGCAGTTAACTGGTTAATGGTTTAATGTGATAATGTGACAATGTCAAAAAGTGTCATCAATAACAGTACATTTCAGCTTGTTACAATGTAGACAATAAGGTACGAACCGCACTACACAATGTATTTTTATACTCGATTGTGCCATGTATGTACTATGCTATACAGCTATTCCCACCAGAATGTATTGCAACGACACGCAAAAAAAAAAAAAAAAAAAAAAAAAAAAAAAAAAAAAAAAAAAAAAAAAAAAAAAAAAAAAATGAATGCTTTATAATGGGTAAACACTGTAGCTTAAAAAAAATAAAAATAAAAATAAAAAAGCGGTGTTAAAATAAACTATAAAATGAAAGTAAAGATAAGCAGCTCACTGTTCCCCAGATTACAAAGTAAAACCCGTTCACAGAGCGGGTATTGTGGCCAACAATCCACAATTGTCCTTCTGGCATTCATACTGTCCTCTCAAAGTGGAGTCTGAGGAACCAAAACAAAGTGACTACTATATCACAGGACACTTCCAGACAATTAGCCGTATTGAAAGCAGCTCATTAGGCAGCCATTGATTAGCTCACAGACTTTAAACATAATGAACTTTCCCTTTAATAGTGCCAACCTCCCCAGATCAATATACCGGACATGCACAGAGGACACACACCATGAGATCCAGGTTGATGGAGAAGGATGAAGAAACTTTTAAAATGGAAGGGATTCATCTGAGAAAGTGAAATTAGGGAGGAATCAGCCAGGGATTCTGTGTTAGTGGGTAAAGGGGAGAGCGAGTGGAAAATGGGCAGACGTAAAAGAAAACCTGTAACCTTGGAGAGAAACTGGCCTTGCAAACAGAATAGGGAAGGAAGACTGTCTGGTACTCTACAAGTACCTCGCCCAGTGAATGTCACTGACCACCACACCATCTATCCCTCCTGTGACGAAAGCACCTTCGTCACTGGGATTTGGAGAGGCCTGCTTGCCAGCCTCTTGTCCTGTGACTATGGCCCCTGGGATATATTGCCCTTTAAAAACACTATTTGGGCATATTGGATTTTAAAGGCACTGTTTCTGCCCCTTGGACTTTTAACTGGAACAGATTCAAATCTGTGGCGGCGGCCATCTTAAATTGTCCAGCAGTGTGTTGTTGTCGAGTGTATGGAACGGTTTTGGGCATGGGACCATGTGCACGCTGGGGCAAAAATTAGACTTTCTGGAAATTCCTGTACCCCTGAACCGATTTGGCGATTTTTGGATATGTTGTTCACCCAGATCGGGGCTATCAGGGGATATGTTGTATTTTGTAGTACTTTTTGGGGTTTGTAAAAATGTATGGGTTTTTTTCTGCTCAGAGTTAATTTAGTTAGCCCATTGTCTTTGTTAATTGTATCACAGGCAGAGGGGAGGGCTTGTGTGCTGTATATGGGAGTGTTGGACATTGTTGTATTCTGATTAATTTGTGTGCCTCTGGTCTGAGGAATTGTATAAATTGTGAGTGCTGGCTTGCATTAAACAGACCTGTTCTACCCTTCATGAAGTCTTGGCTCATGTTTGGGGGATTGGAGAACCTCACTCTGGGGATTGCTATAATAACTATACTCCCCAAAGTATAATCACTAGCTCTTGTAAGAGCTGTACCTGTTCCTGCTTTCTGGATTACAAGAGAGCTCTACCCACTAGAAGCTGGTCCCTGGTCTTGGGTCCAGAATGGGTGTAAGGTGGACAGACCCCAACCAAGCCGCGGCGGTTCGTGGGGTCTGTGGTGGTTATGGGGTCTAGTGGAGTGCTTAGAGCATCAGTCAACGGAAGGTACCCACTCAGGGTGCCAGGTGATCCGTTACACCTCCGCTCTACTACAAGTACCTCACGTCACTGACCACCACACCACCCATCCCTCCGCTCTATCCCTCTTCAATTACGTCACCCCGCTAACGCCACTGACCACCACACTAGGCAATACCTCCGCTCTACTACAACCTACCTCTATCAATCAACATGTAATTCGCCCAACGAACATCACACCACTCTACCTCAATGTTCATCTCCTTCCACAACTTATTTCCCAATCTACCACCAGACAGTCTTCCTTCCCTATTCTGTTTGCAACTTCCCAAGGCTATGGCTTTTCTCTTTCACGTCTGCCCATTTTCAACTCGCTCTCCCCTTTACCCACTAACACAGAATTCCTGGCTGATTTCTCCCCAGTTTCACTCTCAGATTAATCCCTTCCATAAAAAAAAAAGAAAAAAAGTTTTGTCATCCTTCTCCATCAACCTGGATCTCATGGTGTGTGTGTCCAGTCATCATTACCACCCCAATCCCCCGTAGAAGAGACCCTTAGAAAGAAGAAAGTCGTGGTCACACTACATCCCTTGAATAGAACAGAAATTATTTTAACCTGGATTTAGAAATCAATCTTTCCTTTCATAAATTGACCATCAAAATGTCTAAACAAAGAGTAATATGTTCAGACTCGCAAAAAACTAAAAGCAAAAGAACACCCACAACATTGCGGTCATTTTTAACATGTCCAAATGTGGCAACACAGCATAGCGACTTCCGAAGGACAGTCATTATCTTATAGCTTAATGAAAGTCCTGACTCTTTCTTTCAGACCTTTCAATGTACCAGATAAAAAAAAAAAAAAAAAAAAGTTCTTGCACCAACACAAAAACAACTTCAATCTCAACTTTTCAAGTACAATCAGAAGCTTTGGATAGATGTGGTTTCAATCTTTGCCCAAGGCCCGACTGGAGTCCATGAATTTCCCCCACTGAAAATTAGGAAATGTTGAAATCCTAGACTGCGGGTGTGCCATGAGGACTGGCGTGGGAACCACAGCCTAACAGCACAAATTAAACGGAAATTAAAACTCATCTAGCGATACAGGGCCCAAACAGATAGGCCTCATGGAGAAGGAGGGTTACTTACTGAAGGTCTTGCAGATGTCGGAGACGGCTTTGAAGACTCTGTCTGAGAAGTTCACCTTGACTTTTACATATTTCATGTTAGGAAGCTGCAGTCTGAGAACTTTGTGCTGCGGGGTAAATTGAAGCCTTGCGTCCGCTTGGATTCCATACTTGTCCAACGTCCAATGGGTCTTTAGAAGCCAAGTTTTCTTCTTCTCCCACCACAAAGCATGGTCTGACCAGTCTTTCTTCACATCTGCATAGTAGAAAAATAAAAATATATTTGAAAAATCAAATACCAGTTTGTGATCCTGCAATCCCCGCCCTTAGACTAAGACAAGATGGTCTGTAATGAGGAAACAAAAATATCCCAACTAGTAGAGAAACGACATCCACAATACATTAAATGGACTTTACAGGCACCCAGACTACGTCAATCTCATTGAAGTGGTCTCGGTACAATGTCAAACATGTTTGAGAATCTACAGTACTGTAATTATATTGCAAGACTAAGACAGCCTCAAATGGCCATCAGACAGCCACTACAGGCACTTCCTGGTTGCTAACAGACTTTTGGTCAGCACTGGACTTGGCTCCGACCCAGCGCTAAGGGACACCAGGTGAGTAAAAGGGTTTTTAAACCCTTATTTTGGCAGGGCGGGAGTGTCGGGGTGGGGGAGATGCATGAGGGAGCAACAGTACAAGAATACAGCTTTGTATTCCTTGCGCTAGAGTATCCCTTTAAATATCAGGTGCTCCACTTGATTTAAAAAAAAAACAAAAAAAAAAAAAAACACCCACACAGGGGTCAAACTGCACCTCCCCCACCCCCAAATGTTTAAGGACACCACCCAGAATTCAGAAAAAAAAAAAAAAATCATGCCGAGGGCTTCAGTTAGCACTTCACATGTAGTGTTTGGTGTATTGTGTCATTAACATTATCCCGAAATGTTGGCATTGAGTCTTATCACATGCATGGCACTCACAGTGGGCACCTGTACACAGTGCCCTCCGGCATGCAATATTTGGACATCTTCACAGATAGTCAAGAATGGGCATTATATAATCAGTCGAATGCTACAAAGTTCCTACCAGGCGGCTTTTATTAAAGTGCACGATCGTGCTAACCCAGATAGCAATCTGTAGGCCCCAGCTCGCTATCAATCTCCTCTCTACACCTGATAACACTTCAAGGAATCCCAGATAAACAAAGATCACACATGGAGTCCCAGTCTGACGGCTCTGCGGAGTCAAGGAAATCATCTAACAGCCAGGAATTCGCTGATGCTAAAATAATTAGATTTTGGTCATTAAGAATTGGTTATCATGGGGTTTATGCACTAAACCTAGATTTGCTACATCAACATGATTCTCCGGTAGCCCTCTAAGTTGCCAGTTTAAGTAATGTTCAGTCACTGAGTGTAAAGAATGAGCCACCAAGATTTCCACAATTACTGCTCATAGAAAATGCACATCTTCCATTACTAGAAATCAGACAGAAAGAACTCTAAATGTCTGAAATAAAGAACACACACATCACAGGCTGGTTACTAAACATTTAACATCAATTAACCAGAAGAGGGATTGAAGAAAATATTCAGCCAGTGATCTAAACCTGGTTTAAAAAAAAAAAAAAAAAAACCAAACCAACCTCAAATGGGTTTATAACCAGATTGCATTCCATCGAGCTAGAACATAATGGAACTCATCACATACGTGTGTATCGTGAATCAAGACACTCATTGGACTCCACATATTCCAACACAGAAAGCATGGAATTGGCAAAACGCTTGCAAATGCAGGAATCTGTATCGGAAGCAGATGTGCATGTAATATCTGAGCAGGACAGCAGGAGATACATTCTATCTAAAGTCCATGTCACAGAGTTGGTGCCAGCACGCTGACACTGCTTTCATTATAAAGAGCCTTGGCATGTGGCTATGGAATGTTATTCCATAATGGGAGCTTGGCACGCTCTCTGTGCATTGTGACGTTTACTGCCTTATTTGAAGAGATTCGTTCATGTTGCACTAGAGGACAGATACGGGGCAGAGCGTTTCACAAAAATCTTGGTGCACCTGAACAGCTTGAAAAGTCCACTTTGTGCCGGTGATGGAATGACAACCGGAGCATACACAGCCTTCAGGGATTAGGACCCAGGTAGATGAGTGGGTGGGAGAAGAGGGGGACAAATACTTAATTCCCCACCGCGTAGTACCAGAATGGCAGTAACAGCAGGAGAAGAGACTGATGATGCGAGGTAGTGGTCTAAAGGAACGAAAAAGAAAAAACATGGGATTTTCTACCACGTCATCCTGGCAAAAATCCACAGCAGAAAAATGTGCAACTTAACCCACTGTCTGAGGTGGCCCAAACCTTAAGATTGTCAATTATTGCACAATGTTCAGAACTGTCAAAATATATTTTATTTTTTTTAATTGGTTTTAATGAGGTCATTGATGGCAATTTACCAAAAACAGTTTGCCCATACCACCTAATATACCAGAGAGAGGCTGAAAGCCAAACATTTACCAATATAAAGGATACTTTGTGCAGGAGAAACCGGTTTATAACAATTCGTAAACACCAATATCTGGGTACCACGGACCCAAAACAGGTCAGGCCTTTGTTAGTAAAGACATTAATTCAGTGATGGCGAAATATGGCGCTGCAACGAACAACTAGTTTTCCCTGGATGCCGGCCAATCTAAAACAATCTCAGACCTCCATCTACAATATTTCACTATGGCGGAGACAGGCATTTCTTCATTCACCTGGTGAGATTCATCATATAAACTCCCAATGTCTGATGGTATGAGAATAAAGTCATGAATTAATAGGGATGGAGGGGTCAAATACGCAACACCTGGATAGAATCGGCAGACCGTGTGCATAGACAAGACAAATAAGCAGTTTATTCCCCCCCAATAAATTAATACAAGTCCCCGTGTTGGGAATGTAGGAACTTGCCCACACCTGCTAGACTTCAACTCCCATCATGCTCAGTGAGATTCTGGTTGAGAACAGTGGGAGTTAAAAAAATATACATCTGACCCAATGGGATAGGCAACCACTTGCCAGCATGTGAATAACAAAGTGTATAAAAGCATTAGACCAAGTCCTAGATTTTTTGAGAATGGAAGTGAAATTAAATCTAAGGAATCGTGCTCTCTTCTGTGGGCCGGCTAATCAAAGAAAAACAAAACAATTCAGCAAGCTGAATATATCCCGTGACTCAGGACATCAAGAACACCAGTTTTGGTTTTAAACCTACCACCTGGAAAGAAGCATGGTCTCCTACTGATAGCAGGAGGAGGCCGTAAAACAGCAGGAAATGGGATGCAAACAGAGAATTTAGTTCCCACTGGTTGTAAGAGGGGGAGGAAAAAAAATAAACAAACACCCCCCCCCCACACAATGTTAAGCAACAAAGTCCAAAAAGCAAACAAGCCCACCGGAGGCTTCCAAACGGAGAAAGAAAACATCTGGATTTCATTATCCTTGTCCCCATGTTTCCGTGAACCGCCTACGTAATCCCAGCCAGCAAACCATCCCTCACACCCATCCCCTCCCAGCCAGCAAACCATCCCTCACACCCATCCCCTCCCAGCCAGCAAACCATCCCTCACACCCATCCCCTCCCAGCCAGCAAACCATCCCTCACACCCCATCCCTCCCAGCCAGCAAACCACCCTCCCAATCCCTCCCAGCCAGCAAACCATCCCTCACACCCATCCCCTCCCAGCTAGCAAACCATCCCTCACACCCATCCCCTCCCAGCTAGCAAACCATCCCTCACACCCATCCCCTCCAGCTAGCAAACCATCCCTCACCCCATCCCTCCCAGCTAGCAAACCAAACTCCGCCCCATCCCCTCCCAGCTAGCAAACCATCCCTCACACCCATCCCCTCCCAGCCAGCAAACCATCCCTCACACCCATCCCCTCCCAGCCAGCAAACCATCCCTCACACCCATCCCCTCCCAGCCAGCAAACCATCCCTCACACCCATCCCTCCCAGACAGCAAACCATCCCTCACACCCATCCCCTCCCAGACAGCAAACCATCCCTCACACCCATCCCCTCCCAGACAGCAAACCATCCCTCACACCCATCCCCTCCCAGCTAGCAAACCATCCCTCACACCCATCCCCTCCCTGCCAGCAAACCATCCCTCACACCCATCCCCTCCCAGCCAGCAAACCATCCCTCACACCTATCCCCTCCCAGCCAGCAAACCATCCCTCACACCTATCCCCTCCCTGCTAGCAAACCACCCTCCGCCAATCTGACATAACCACTCACTCTAAACATGTAACCAGCTTCCTCTCCCCATGACCACACAACTCCAGCCCTAAAATAACTTAAGACATGAAAACCCAATTACAGAATATTACTGCTTAAACCAAAATAAAGTTGTTACACAAGCATTTCAAAGGTTACATTGTATTAACCAGCAGCCTAAAAGAAGGTCAATTGTACCTAAAACTTTTTGCCTTCTTTAACTGCGATTTTCATTATATTTTTTTAATATTTGGCAAATGACATCAAAACCCAGTTCAGGCAAGGCACAACCAGGGCATACGATGCTAATGAAACATTGAGGCGCTTAAGAAAAAAAAAAAGGGTTCATTCTAAAAAGTGACTCTCACAGAAAATATAAAATGTGTTTGTGATTATTCTCCTTTGTTTCATGTCTCCTCCTCTCCATATTCTCTCCCTATAAAAAAGGACAGAGCTTATTTAAAAAATAAATAAATAAATAAATATATAATGATTGAAAGGGAGCCAAGATAGAGGTCTCCCAGGACATCACATCTCACGGTCTCTCCCACGATGTGTAATAGCACAGTGCGCGCTCCACATTAAGGAACTTTGTTTGATTGAAGGAAACTCGTCAAACAGTCTCTAGTGCTGTCTGCTCTGTATGAGATGAAGATTTCGAAGGTCAGCGTGTTACAAAGTCACAGTGAAAGTGGCATTTCTATTCCACAATCACAGGAAGAAGAGAGAGAGTTTCCCACATTTACAGAATGAAATACTATTCCAAGAACACAAACCGATACACACTCCTAGTCTTCCAAAATGAGAGCGCCATGTACACAGACAGCCTGGGAGTTGGGTCACGGGGTGTGAAACTTACCAAACATACTGCTGGGTCTCTGCCCTGTATCAGCGAGAGGACACCGTCCTGCTCTCATTTCAAGAAAACGCAGATATTAAAGCTTCCACTGACAGAGTGTGAGTGAGTCTCAAAGCCGGGAGGTAGTTTACTCATCAGTAAAGATTACAAAAACCACCCCCCCTCCCCGTACCACCACCACCACCGCAGGAATCATCTTAAAACATCTCAATATAGTGAGCAGAAAGGTCGATCTTTGTATGTTCTTGAGAAATATTACAGAGAAAGAAAAGGAAAGATTTTACTTTTAATACAACTATTTGACCTACACGTTTCACTATTTCGGGCCAGGAATTCCAACCTCCCCCCAAATAACCAGAATGTGATATAAAAATGGGCAACAATTCAAAACAGTTGGAGGCTGAACGATGTGTTCGTCATTGGAGGGAGAGCCCCTCTTTATCCTTTAACTTACAGCATATAGGCCATCTTACTGTCGGTTACGAACTCCCCTGAAATATCCTGGAACAGCCCCAAGCAGTTTCTCCAATTGGGTCCTTGAGAATTTGGGTGTTGTATATCAAAAGAGAGAACTGGGGAAATCTGTAAAGGGCAGTTATAATGAGCAGCTTCGAGTGCAGGTATCCTCTGCAATCTACATCTTGTAAGCACGGTTTAATCTTCCTATTGCCCCATAGCCGTGATATTGTGATCCAGGTCCTCCCCGCATACACCCCTTGCAAAGCTGCAGGCAGGGAGTGTGCGGTCTGCATATACGGGAGGTGCAGATTGCTTTAAAGTTCTCCCTTGCAATCCTGGCCCCCACTGAATGATTGACTGCAGCTTCTGTATTTCCCATCAAGTGCCGAACTGGAATAAGTGATTAGGGACCACTGAATACAGAACCCCCACTGACCCACCAGGGATTATAGCCCTGTCCTTACACCCAATTACTTTCCTAATTCAAGTTATTTTGAGTGACAGACAAGAAGATGTATTTGTTACATTACACAGCACTTCTGGAGAACTGTACAACCAGTGCTATTGGTTCGCACAAGATTCAGCTGATTAGCAGGAACGATCACATGCGGGTGACGACTTTAGAGGAATTGACAAACTGATCAAAACAGCTGTGTGCAAGGTCAGCGTTTGAAGAGACCTGATCAAGTCATTACAGCCTGAAAGTGGATGTAGAGACACCATCTATGTCATTTTATGGAGTTATTTGTGTGATTATGTCACAAGCATAGTTTAAAGGAACACACACTTATAGTTTTATAGCTGGGGTGTTTCATTTGGATTACTGGTCCACAAAAAAAAAAAAATAAAAAATAAAAAATAAAAAACACGGCTCGCCTCGTTCTGGTGTTGGTAATAAAGGGACCCCAATCATCTAAAAATAATCCGCTTTGACCTACAACACTTTACGGACAGAAGTCCCAGATCCTTTTGTGAAGGAAGGAAGAGAGATCAGATCTCTGAGATTCTTTCTAAGGGTAGTAAATGAGGTCAGAGGATTCCAGATCTCCACGAGCCACAGGGCCCTTCACAACCGCACCCACCTACAAATACCTGCGTCATGGTAGAATTTAACCATCACGTCCTATGAAATCCACACAGTATGGTCATCTGGACAGATCGGCTAAAATCAATTCACCTTATTTGTCCTTCCAGACGCCCAAAGAAGCGAAAATGTTAATATCGAAATTAACAGCTGGAGCCAAGTTATGAATTCCAAGACATCGAGAGAAACAATCTCCTGGAAAAATCAATTACTCAAAATACAAAAAGCTGCAGTGAGCTCAGACTAATGATGTTATTTAGAGCGTCTGTAGAGAAGTCACCTTGACCGATTCTCACACAGGGTAAAAATAACCGCCAGATATAGCGCTTTTTTGTTAAACACAAGCAACTGGTGAGCCATTTCTCTACCTCGTCGTCTCAGAGCCTCAGGAGCTGCGGTGGATTAGAACATGATTTGCAGAATTGAGCTGCATAGGCCCTTTTTATCTAATAAAACACAGAATAAGCCTTTCCTAGCAGGAGACAGAGTCTGCGTTCAGCCTGAGCATAGAGGCCAAGAGGAACCTACAGAGCAGTGGTGCCCGAAGGGTAGATCCCCAGATTATTGAGAACTACAACTCCCATGATTCTTTAAATGGCTTTAGAATGACAAATCATGGAAACTGTAGTTGTAAAACATCTGGCGATCTACCTTCTTGGCACCCCTGCTATAGAGTGTCCCTCCACAGGACGGACATTCTGAATTAGAGGAGAAAAGGGGGTCTGCAGAGTAAGACACCAATAAAGCCTACCGAGTGCTAAAACTGGAGCAATATTCTACTGGATTGCATGACGATTGCTCTCTTTATACAGCTAACACGCAGTTCTGGCATGCTCTGTGATAGAACCAGGTCGAACAAACCTTGTCTGACAGTCTGAATTGTGGCATTAAAACCCAACTACAGAATATTACTGCTTAAACCAAAATAAAGTTGTTACACAAGCACCTTACCAGGAGGAAGGTCGGGTGGCATCAGCGACAAATCTAAGCCATAGCACCTCCTCCCCCCACACCTAGAACTCTGAAGTTACAGCCCCCAAAGGAACGCATGGATGGGAGGCTCTGAAAGCAGAGGTTGACCTTTGCTCCTGGAAGCAGTGGCTTAACGGAATGCAGCCCCTTACTCCCCATCCCTGCTTGTCTTATGTTCTTAGTAAGTGGAATGTCAGCTGTGCACCCCCCCCCCCAATATCTCCCAATAGACAAAAAACAAAACAAAAAAAAAAACCCCCAATACACAGAGCTTCCATCAATGTACCTAAACGGTGCCACTAGACACTGGTGGACAGGCAGAGAGGACCACGGACACCACCCTCTGACCGAGGAACAATTGGTTATCAGCTGAATAAGTTACATTGTAACAAGGTGTGTAAAGAACCACCAATCCCACGGCCACATCATAAGCACCACAAAGGACAAGCACGATCCGCAGTCCAGCAGCTAGATTATATTTCCCTTAATTCTGCCGACTTAGAATTCACAAACTCCTTAACACATTTTAATAAGGTGCAACGTATTGGTAAAGAATTACAAGCCATACAGTGCTTTGGAACTTGCTGGCGTAATACATAAATACAGCGAGGGCTGTAAAGATGTGTGGTTCACTGCCGGGTTCATTCATGTAAACAGAAAAACTATTTATAACATTCAAGCTGTTATTAGCAAGTTGGAGAATTGTTGGCAAATCTGCTAATTTGGCATATTTTATTCAGACTTTGGTGCCACCTTACAGAGGAATGCATCTACTAAAGGGAAGTGAGGAGGCTGGAGGGATTTTTAATTAACAGCTGGAGCTCCTGCGGGAGGAACGTCAAATTCTAGATTAAAAAAAAATATAACACGACATTTGCAGAATTACTGGTTTTGTCTGACTGGATCGATTGACCTTTACAAAAATGAGATGAGCCGGTCAAGGAAACTGTCCCATAGACGGCAGAAAGAAAGAATTGGTTGCAGAATGATTAGAACCAGTCAGGGACTGGTACACAGGCAGCCTGCATTCACCAATCTTATTAAAAAGGATTCAAACCAATCGAGTCCAGGAGTTCATATAACCCTTGGATTTATTAATATGGGATTAAGACAGGGTTAAACCTTCTTCTTGGAAGTTTGTCGCTTTTTTACCATCTTATCCAATATCTGTGCAGACTGATAACACAGCACAGACGCCCAGTGGGGTCCAGCTCCACGAATCCAGCACTGGTACCCAGTCATATTACAGCTACAGACCTGGTCCGGCTTTCTAACCAGGGAAAGAAGTAAAGGGGCCCAAATACAGTGTGAAGCCATTGCCAGAATCCTGAAAGCTGTCCAAAAAGGGTGTTAAATGGACGGGGTGATAGTATGCAGACAGCCAGAGCGGATCACGCCCGTTCAGTCCAGTAACAGCAATAAGGCAACTTTGGGCGCTACCAATACTTCGCAGAGGACACCCCAATAACAGGTCAGGTTTGGCTACATTGTAAATGGATTTGGCTCAGTGCTTCGAACGTGAGCAGCGATAATCGCTTACCTCCAGGGCCAGCGAGTATATGGAAGTCAACTTCCCAATTTCTATTATATAGCACCACCATATTCCACAGTGCTGTACAAGATGTAAACAAGACAAAATTCTAACAAAACAAAATCAGATTTGTCACACGGGAACAGTAAGTGAAGAGAGCACTGCCCAAACAAAAAGAACTTACAGCTTCCTTTGGCACCGTAGATGTTTGAACTATACCTCCCATGAAGCTCAGCCAGCTTTTAGCAGTGGGTTTGTTCTATAAACCCATGTCAATTCTATATCGTACATGGGCTGCAGCAATTTAACACATCTGTCTGTAATAGATTATGGATTTCTTATAAATAAATTCTACAGAACCAATGGAATGCAAAAGTCCTGTTACTGGGACCAGAAAACTGCCATAAAGGATTAATAATCCAGAGTTATTCATTTCCCCAGAACATAACCCCCCAAAAAGGCAGCTAAACCCTATTAACCCAATAAGGGTCATGGACTATATAAAAAAATCTTATATCGAGACATACAGAACAGCAAACACACACGTCACCAGTAAACGCAATGACAAGACAGGCTGTCCACAGAGCTAACGGGGACCTGGAAACAAGGGCCACTGAGCCAGCCACCATAAAACAATAAAGTGATTGAGAATGGGTGCCTCCCCCAAGGACACGTTAAATAAAATCAAATCCTTGTTCTTTACACTACGAATAAGGGCGAGCAATTGGATGGCGAGTGTCACTGGAAACTTACCAAGTTTCTCCACCAGTTTCAGCATCACACCGCCAATGTGGACCTCCCCGGTGACCCTCAAGGTGACATCCCGGCTTAGGTCGGTGATATGGACATTTAATTCCCAGGTTCCATCTGCATAGCAGCCATCTGGCATTCGGATCCCATCCAGAGCCATCTTTTCTTCCTGTGAGGAGAGGAAATTACAGCTCTATTAACTGGAGAAATGTCAAACTGGGGGATTTCATCCAAATCTGCAAAGGGTTAATAGATGATAAATCTGAATGAGCTGCAGCAATACAGATACAATGTTTACTGTTTGTAAACACCAAACAAAATGTAACTGAAGATTCTACAAACAAAGCAACTCCCAGCTGGCAGTAAACTAACCCCATCCTAAACTAGGGGGGTTTCAATCAGCAGCCCCCACCCAGCACTCACATAGCCCATCAGGGATATTCCACCCCGATCACAGCTCACTGGAAAATGACAAAAAAAAGGGAAATTAGTTAAAAATGTTATTTACACCACAAATAGAAATGATCGCTCAGTAAAAGGAAGCAGCACAGATTGAGATCATGGCTCAGTTTAACTCAGAGCAACAGGGTGTGATCCCTGCAGCCATGTGACCCCCAACATTTACTGCAAAACTCACCCGGCAGGGAACTGGTTAATACAGCTGTCAGGGGGGGGGAGGGGGGGGGTTAGTAATTTCCTAATCCTGAGTTTTCTCCATAGACCCAGTGAGCTGTGTGCTGCCAGTCATTCCCTGAGATTTACATACATCTGTCTGTCTGTGTCTCTGTGTCTCTGTCTCCACAAACCGTTGTTTTCACCTGTTTGTAGAAAGTTACCTAACCGGTCCTGCAGCTCCCAGTCCTTGTGTAATATTAACTTTTTAAGCTGTGGAGGGAAGAGGCAGCAGAGAGAGGGGAGGGGTGTGGGGAATAGATGGGAATGGGGGGAGTTGAATGTAAGTCCAGGAAAGCATGCACACTTACCTTTTGCCCTCCCCTCTTCTTGCAGTAAGTTACCCCAGGGGTTGGAGGGAGGGGTAGGTGAGGGCAGCCTGCCTCAAGCTGTACAATCTCAGCAATGGGTCTCACACTCCCCCAAGCCCCCCCTGTCCAGGCTCTGAGCACTCACTCTGGCCCCCTCCCTGTATACTTTACTGATTGAGACCTACAACTGCAGCCCCGGCCAGGAGAGGGTTAATAACACTTTCTAATGCAACAAAGTATCAGCTCAAGGATGCTGTGTCCACATGGAGGGGGAGGGGGGCCTGAGGAGTCTCCCAGCCACAGCCCTTTTATGGATGTGAATCAAAACCAGGATTGGATCCAACATCCGGGACTCAGGGAGGCTGGGGGAGGGCTGGAGGCTCATACTGACTGTGTCCCGTTATAATACACCCCACCCCCCTTCTGGCATTCACTGCACCCCTTCCATGCTGGGAGAGGGGACAACTGGAACAGCCCTTCCCTAAACTGCCACCCACCAGGGAAAATGATTACAACAAAAAAGACAAATACCCCATTCATGAACTGGACAACTGCAAAACTCTGCTATTATTTTATAGTAAAGAAGGCACCAACATGTTCTGTATCACTGTACAATATGAACACAATAACAACAAAAATTAAACAGTTTTATTAATTACCATAACCTTATAGCTACAGTTATAATACACTGTGTGCGAGGAGTGATCTCCTTACACCATAACCTTATAGCTGCAGTTATAATACACTGTGTGCGGGGAGACAGGGGACCTCCTTATACCATAACCTTATAGCTGCAGTTATAATACACTGTGTGCGGGGAGACAGGGGACCTCCTTACACCATAACCTTATAGCTACAGTTATAATACACTGTGTGCGGGGAGACAGGGGACCTCTTTACACCATAACCTTATAGCTGCAGTTATAATACACTGTGTGCGGGGAGACAGGGGACCTCCTTACACCATAACCTAATAGCTGCAGTTATAATACACTGTGTGCGGGGAGACAGGGGACCTCCTTACACCATAACCTTATAGCTGCAGTTATAATGCACTGTGTGCGGGGAGACAGGGGACCTCCTTACACCATAACCTTATAGCTGCAGTTATAATACACTGTGCGCGGGGAGACAGGGGACCTCCTTACACCATAACCTTATAGCTGCCGTTATAATACACTGTGTGCGGGGAGACAGGGGATCTCCTTACACCATAACCTTATAGCTGCAGTTATAATACACTGTATGCGGGGAGACAGGGGATCTCCTTACACCATAACCTTATAGCTGCAGTTATAATACACGGTGTGTGGGGAGACAGGGGACCTCCTTACACCATAACCTTATAGCTGCAGTTATAATACACTGTGTGCGGGGAGACAGAGGACCTCCTTACACCATAACCTTATAGTTGCAGTTATAATACACTGTGTGCAGGGAGACAGGGGACCTCCTTACACCATAACCTTATAGCTGCAGTTATAATACACTATGTGCGGGGAGACAGGGGACCTCCTTACACCATAACCCTATAGCTGCAGTTATAATACACTGTGCGCGGGGAGACAGGGGACCTCCTTACACCATAACCTTATAGCTGCAGTTATAATACACTGTGTGCGGGGAGACAGGGGACCTCCTTACACCATAACCTTATAGCTGCAGTTATAATACACTGTGTGCGGGGAGACAGGGGACCTCCTTACACCATAAACTTATAGCTGCAGTTATAATACACTGTGTGCGGGGAGACAGGGGACCTCCTTACACCATAACCTTATAGCTGCAGTTATAATACACTGTGTGCGGGGAGACAGGGGACCTCCTTACACCATAACCTTATAGCTGCAGTTATAATACACTGTGTGTGGGGAGACAGGAGACCTCCTTACACCATAACCTTATAGCTGCAGTTATAATACACTGTGTGCGGGGAGACAGGGGACCTCCTTACACCATAACCTTATAGCTGCAGTTATAATACACTGTGTGCGGGGAGACAGGGGACCTCCTTACGCCATAACCTTATAGCTGCAGTTATAATACACTGTGTGCTGGGATACAAGGGACCTCCTTACACCATAACCTTATAGCTGCAGTTATAATACACTGTGTGCAGGGAGACAGGGGACCTCCTTACACCATAACCTTATAGCTGCAGTTATAATACACCGTGTGCAGGGAGACAGGGGACCTCCTTACACCATAATCTTATAGCTGCAGTTATAATACACTGTGGGCGGGGAGACAGGGGACCTCCTTATACCATAACCTTAAAGCTGCAGTTATAATACACTGTGTGCCGAGAGGCGGAGCCAAGCAGCAGAGGCGAACGGTCGCACAACCCTGGAGCTCCGTACTACAAACGAAGAAATTAAGCCTAATCTATACCAAACTTACCCCAACTGCGGGCAGACTCCACGCAAGATCCCAGCAGGCTCCATGGGGCGCAAAAATAAGAAAAGATCACCGGACAATCCAGCCCCGGGGCTCACAATCGGGGACATGTGGAGGCAAGCACGAGGTCCGAGCGAAGCTAATATGGCGGCGCTCCACGGGGGCTGCACAGATTTCTCTGATGAATGCTCAGAGGACGTGGACGAGGAATATCCCCTCACACCAACCCCAATAGTGAAACACACACCGGGCAAACCAAGGTCGGACCCCGACGCAGACCCAGTCACCACCGGAGTGTTGAAAGCCTTACTGGCAGACCTGCAGAACAATATTCTCACAGACATCTCTGCACTTAGAGGAGAGCTGCAGGGCCTGACAGGCCGTACTACCGTGCTGGAAGACTCCTCTCAAAAACACCAGCGCGCCATCACCGCACTGCAGGGCGAAGTGCATGAGCTGCACAGCAAACACACACTGCTAGAACGGCGCTTGGATGTCCAAGAAGACAAGAGGAGGAGACATAATATTAAGGTCAGGGGGATCCCGGAGGGACCACCAGAGGCAGAGCTCCCACACACAATCCGAAACCTCTTGGCCACCATACTTCCCCCAGGTCCAAACGCGTCTATCGAACCCACAGATCTCTACAGGATCCCGAAGCCCACTGGGGCCCCAGCGACTAGCACGAGGGACACAATCCTGACCTTTAAGAACGGCAGAGACAAAGCAACGGTCCTCAACGCCCTCCGGGGGAAAACTCCCGTGAAATTCGGGAACGCAACACTCACTTTTTATAATGACTTGTCAGGGGGAACATTGGCGTGGCGCCGATCGCTCCGACCTCTCACCGCCACACTCCAACACCGACAGATCCCGTACCGCTGGAGGTCCCCTCACACACTCATCGTGCAAAGGGGCGAGACCACCCACCAAATTCATGACCCACCAGACGCAACAGAGCTATTACGGGACTTGGGCCTAACCTGGGACTCACTCCTCCAAACGGGCCTCCGGGCTCCCTACACACCGACTACCAGTTGGGACCCGGCGAACAGCGCACCATTTGTGCCTCGAAACCCAACACCAATCACCTATGCGGCGGTCACCACCTAAGTGGAGCAGCGACACAGGCCGGCACCTGACTACAGTGGTTTACCATGCCTGATGGGGGCAACAAGTAACACCCAGGACTCACAATCCCTCCCCCCCCTCTTTTCTTTTCCTCTTATTTTTTTTTTTCCTCTCCCTTCCCCCCCTCCTCTCTTCTTCTGTTTTTCAGAGACTCTGATACGGGACTATTGGCCTAGCGGCATAACGCATCGTGGGTACCTATTCATATCCTAAGCATACTGTATTGTCCACTCATGCACTATACCTGTCATGAAAACAGAATAGCAGTAGCCCATCGATAACAATATTGATACATATAGATTTTGTATAAAGGATTATAGCAACCCCGGCACCACAAAAAGCTTGGGTTGCTTTACGTCATATGCTTATGTTTCTAACCTGTTATAACTAGGTGCTCAGCCATTCTATTATTGACTATTGGATAGAAGCGGATATTAAGTTACGCTAACCCACTGTTTATACTCCCCCTCGCAAGCTAAACACCAAGGGTCTGATATATGCAAACGTTTGACGGGGGAGGGGGAGGGAGATGGGGGGAGAGAAGGGAAACAGACAGCTAAGGTGTAAGTTGAACTCATACTTCTTAGGCGAAAAGCTAGTTGCGGAACCATTCAAACACTGTTAATAGAACCAGATAGAACCAAGACTTAAGTTACGACTACCTATGGTTTATTACTGGAGGTTTTATAAGCAGCGCAGCGAGCTAGACCTATACCTTGTGCCACTGGCTGACTCCCTCTGATGATAATCGACTAACCGTACACACAATGTTATCAATAATTAATGTTTTATGTTTTGTTGTTTCTCTATAAGTTAGCTACGTTAGCTAAATCTCACTCTGTAGCATTAACGATTTAGTCAAGCATGTAAACTATAAAAATGTGCGAATTACCATGCCATTGTCTAATCTATGTGAATCCTGAGACGCTGTTGTGGCGCCTATTGATATGTCTGTAACCCCCCGCACAACAAAAATAAAGAATTTAAAAAAAATTAAAAAAAATGACGATATTCCCAAAAATTTTATATTTTTTTAGGACCATTCCTCTGTCCATCCCATTATCATTTTTTAATAAAGTTCACTTGACAATGATGAAGTTTATCTGGGGGAACAAGCCTGCCCGAGTAAGGCTCACTTCCCTGCAGCACCATAAATCGAATGGCGGTATAGGTGTCCCCGATATCCGCAAATATTATTTCGCCACTAACGCTGCAGTGGCTGTGAGCTTTAACAACCAGGTTGATAAACCCAGATGGATGGAAATAGAAGAATCAAAAATTTTACAGGTTAGATTATCAGAATTACCTTGGTTAAATCCTAAGAAAAGACCTGGAATTACAAAATTATTTTTATCTACCAAGACTACGCTTAAGGCCTGGGACATTGTTTTTAAAAATGACCAGTCTCCCAGTTATATAGAGCAATGCCTATTGAGTTATGGAAAGATTATATACCATCCTTAAAAATAGAATTATTGAAGGATTGCTCTATAACTAATCTGGATAATTTTTTTTATGGCAATGTTATTCTTTATTTGGAAAAATTGAAGCATAAGTATGGATTATCAAATGTATGTGAACTGGAATGTATGCTAATCATTGACAAATTGAAAGAACTATACCAGGTACCTGAAACAGATAAAAACTATAATTCACTTGAGTTATCTCCTTTAGAGAAAGTTTTTTTATACAGCCCTGCTAGTAAAGGTATGATATCCTTATGTTATTTGCTTTATAATGCCAAGCCCTTAATTAAATTAAAACATATGTTGTCATGGGAGACGGAGTTGGGTGCCCAGTACGATTTAGAAGAATGGTTCGTGTTTTTTTTTAAAGCTTTAAAAGGTATTTCGTATTGCACCGAGCATTTTGAAAATCATTATAAAATGTTATATCGCTGGTACCTGGCTCTGTCTAGATCGCACAACATGAACAATATGTATTCTGACCGGTGTTGGAGAGACCGTGGGGGAGTGGGCAATATGGCCCATATCTGGTGTTTCTGCCCCAAATTAACTAATTATTGGAAAATTATTCATGATCTAATTATTAAAGTGAACAGAACCATTAGCATTTTAACTTCGGAACTAGCCTTATTTAAAGAACTCCCGGAGTCCGTTAATAGATCAGATAAAATAATATAATCATAGGCCACATTCTGATCGCTGCTACTTCCTGTTTACCTAGACATTGGAAGTCCCAAAATGTGCCATCTAGAAAACAAAGCACACAAATTGTCACATAGAGTTAATATGCATGGTTTCCCAATATTAAATATAATTGGGACAAATGGGAAGAAAAAATCTTTGCTATATTTATTGTTAAAGTGTATTGATGTACAGAATTTTTGCCATATACATTGTTATGCTTATTTCAATGATGGATGGATACCCCTTCCCATTTCCAAGTTCCCCTTCCTCTCTCCTACCCCTAATACAATGTTTGTATTATTATTACTTGTTATACACAATTTTAAAACTTTAATAAAAGTTATTTGAAAAAAATAAATATGTGACCTGAAAACTTTTGAGAATTTGTCTATTTTGTCCTAAAATGTAAAATAAACTTTTAATTCCCTCCCTGGATAATGGGCTTGCTCACACTGTAATAACCATAGACACAGAACACATTATTCTATGTCTATGGTACAAACACACTCAGCTTGCCCTCAGTTGGATGGCTTCACTGCCCACAGGAAGTACGTCACAGCTACCACTGACTTCCGGGTTTCTGCCTGACCTCTCTGCACATTGGGTATGAGCATGTTTTACATTGTCTGTAATTGCTATAGAACACCATTCAGCATTTATTGAATTAAGTGAATACATTATAGGGTGTGCTACTAATTAATTCTTGGCATTTTAATTAATGCTTTGTGTTAATGAATTAATATGGTCTGTCCCTGTGTTATCATAATTCCCCAATAAATCAGATTGGAGAATGGGGAGCAGCATTGGGGGAACATGGGGTGAATGTAAGAATACAGGCTTACTGGCTGCTTCAGGCTCACACACTGTGAGAGTCAGAGTGAAAGTGTATAAATCTGATCACACTCAGGCAGGGTGCATTAAAACAATTGGTTAGCAAGAAGCTGTCAATCTTATGTTCCTTCATTTTCAGCATGGCAGAGCTGCCTGAGAATGATGGGAGTTGCAGTCCAGGTAATCCCCATGTTAGGAGACTATCCAAAGAAGTGACACACTGCTGTACCCCCACTCTGTGGACTCAGTTTGGGGAACACCTCTGTAATGTGGCCATGCTCTGATGGAGCAATTCCAATCTAATGATTAGTGTTCTATTAAACTTGCCTCCTTCCTTCCTTGAACCTTAAAGGGACAGTAAACATTTCATCCTGTGGATCATTGAACCAATCATGATTTGGTTCACTGCGCAGACACACAATGCATTACCTGTGGGAGCACAGCATAGGAGCCAGTTAGAGAGAGGGGTGCTGACATATCCAAACAGTGTAAGAGTATTAGGTGGTCTCTGCATTAAGGAATTTATTTACTTTAGCAATTCGCACAATTTAGTTTTCAAATGGATCTCATGGCAACAATGAGACTAGTTTTAAAATGGAACCTGCTAACTATCCGGGAAGGAGGGAGGTTGGAGGTAGTTATAGTAGTTTCAGCACGTTATGAATGACATTCTTTATTACGGAAATTACTGAATTGAAAGAATTTAGTGGATTTGGTTGCTGTACGGCAATCTGATTGTACATGAACAGCTGAGTTAGCAAATGTATGTAGAGGTTCAGCTAATTATAACAGCTAACTGAAAGCCACCCAATCTGGCTTTTGTGCAAGGCAGAATGGGTTTCATATAGCTTGGACAACTAACTTCCATGTAGACGTCATAGTGACTTAACGCTTAACTCTTTGGGCGACATGCAATTCATTGCTGAACCTTTAGGGAATCAAGGGGTTAAAGGACAAGTTCTGGGCTGCAGTAATATAATAGAATATATTTATTATCATTTAGTATAACATTAATTTACTTCTGTAAATGAACTAATTCCTTCTTTATTTTCTTTCACGTTTAAGAAATGCTGCCTCGTCTTGCCTGGAGGGGATTCCCTCTGACTTTGCAGGTATTTTTTTATTATAAAATATAATGTGCTTATAGTAGTAAAAATGTTGGCAGAATCTTGAAAGTTATATTATTTTGGTACATTTTCAGAGGGACCATAAAAAAACTGGAGGGAGACAATGGCTGTGAGAAATGTTATATGTCCTAAAATAGATGGTGCAATGTGGAATGGAAAATAGAATTAACTATGAAAACGTTGGTTGTGATGAATTGTAGTATAAGGAAGTGGGGTGGCTTAAACTGTGTGTTGGCTGCCTTCGTCAGTCCCTGCCAACCTTTTGGTATTTATGGTCCGATTCCTGAGACTTTAAAGGCTCCTGAAATATATATCTGGAAAAATACACTAGTAACACCATTATTCGTAGAATCTGTATCTTTTAACAAATCAGGCTTTGTGATTAAAACAAACAAGATTAACCACTGAAGTTTGAAATATTTTATTTCCTTTCAGTTTTATCAGAAGACACCACCAGTTTATCAGATGTGTAAACAACACCTATTGTCAACACCAGCCCAGACGGTTTACATCAGCAGCAGGACCTTGTTGTCACCCTGCAATCCAGCCCTGCATGCTGCTACCTGCTTCCTAAACTCCAGATGTGGATCCTGCAGGTTTAGCTCCCACATGAAAAAGAGGAAAGTCCAGGAGGAAGATGATCGAAAGAATTTAGGTTTACTGAGATACGACCTGTTGTCTCTTAAAAATGTGCCCAAGCCTGCTCTTTACCTTGGGTTGGGAGGTTTGATCCCCTTTGTTGCTCCCCCTGTTGTAATGATTGCATCATCATGCTACTACCCAGAGTTGGGCTACGCGCAGATAGCATACGGTGCCACCATACTTTCCTTCCTTGGTGGTGTTCGCTGGGGTTTTGCCATTCCGGAAGGCAGCCCTGCCAAGCCCGACTGGATGAATCTGGCTAACAGCACGGTTCCAGCAATCTTTGCGTGGATAGCTCTTCTCTTCAAGGATACCCCAACAGAGTCTGCATTACTTGTTATCATGGGATTAGGGATTGCATTACACTATGACCTTGCCCTGCTCCCTACTTACCCTTCGTGGTTCAAAGGATTGAGAGCTGTGCTAACGTTCGTAGCAATCTTATCGCTAATAGCTACTTTAACGATTTCAGGGCTCTATCCACACAAAACATTGGTTAAAGGACCACCTGACTTCTGATACCTTCTTCCACAATGCAGCAGGTTTATGAGGTGCCAAAAAACTAACTGCTTGAACAAGTAGATTATAGTTTGACACAATGAATCCTCCAGGCCAGGTTTAATCACGCATATCAAAGCTCACAACAGTCAACAAATAGATTGTATTATGTATATTTTATATACTCATTCATACAGAAACGTACATTTCTATGCCAAAATGGAAGAACACGTTAAAAATGGTCAAATACTTCCGTTGTATTCTGAATAAAATACATTGGATCAATAATGTATTCACCCATATTATCAGCATCGGTTGTCAAAATGACAAAAACGTGATTCAAAATCATTGTCAAAATAAATAAAAATACCTTTCAGCTTTCTTAATGTTCTAATGATCTTACAGCCCTTGCACAGCAGACACAACAAATGGCCCTGAGAGAGCGGAGAGCGAGTGAAGACTACGGTTTGCTCAGTAAGCTTTGCAGTGATGCTTAGGATCATCCTTTAGCGATAAATATATCATTTTGAAAGTTTAAACGCGATACACGCAAATCTATTTTTGCCTGATATAAACAGGTTTTCTCACTGAGTCTGCATGAACAGGGGTTATTATTCTCATCAAAGATCAGACCAACAATCATCACCAGCATTTCCTCTCAAACCTGAACTCACTCTGTAATAAACGAAACGTTCTTTGAACTCTTGTGATTCTGTGTTCCCACATTTTGTTTGTAAGCTTTTCTTCACTTTCCAATAAAAAAAAAAAAAAAAGCTGAACAGATTTAAAAACTATCAATGTGAGAATTGGCAGCTTTTTAAATGCTGTAAGTTTGATATTGAACTCATAAATTACTATAAAAGCTTCCTTTACAGCTTGCTGGTGGCTGCCTTAAAGGGACACTGTAGGCACTCAAGTGCTTCATTTCACTGAAGTGGTTATAGTGGCAGGAGTCATCCTTCCATTCTGAGTTATATTGTTTTAAACGTCATCAGTAACCTATACTCTCCCTGCTACCAATGAGGAAGCATTATCTTGAGCAGCACTGGGAGACTGTGATTGTAATCTGGCCGCTGTCTGCCTATCACTGCATCCATTGCTGGTATGAATGGGTATGGCTAAGGAATTGTGTAAGCACTGGCTTAGTCATACCAACAGTCAGGGCCACAAAATGGGTGTACCCTCATTCAGCAATAAACTGTTTAAAAATGTTTTAATACAGAAAGGAGGGAAGAGCCAGCAGTCTCCAGGCACTATAACAAATTCAGTGAGATGAAATAGTTACAGTGCCTGCAGAGATATTTTATGGACCCAATTAGGAGAACCCGAGGATACGGACAGGGTTATTTACTAAACTCCAAATTGTAGTGAATATAGCCATGCTGTGACTAGTGCGCAGTTGGAGAATTTTTCTATTTCAATTTTTTAGCCATAGTTTTGCCATTGGGTTTTAAGGTCAGAGCAATTCTTTGTTTAGTAAATAGCCTGTCAAACAATTTTCTGGATTATGTTAGACAGAGAGAAACTGCCAATTGCACTTGCTAGATTGTAAATTTTTACACAATTTGTCAACTGATTAATAGTTAATGGATGATGGGAACTGTGCAGTAACAGGGCTGTATGTTACAGATACAGAAGGGGTGTGCATTATGGTAAAACACAGGTCATCCCATTGTTTAAAGTGATAGTATAGGGCTAGGAATACAAAGTTGTATTCCTAGCACTAAAGCTCCCTTACGCCCTCTCCCCCTTGCAGTGTAAAGGTTAGTAAACCTTTACTTTACTTACCTGATTCCAGCGTCTCCTCCGACCAGGTGGGCACTAATGTGCAAGCACAGTAAACGACACAAGTGCATTAAGCCCTCCTCATAGGAAATAATTGCTGCAATGCTTTCCTATACGGATTTAACAGACGCTGGGTGTACTTATGCAGAGTGGGAGTATGTCCAGTGTCAGTTATGCAGAACCACCAGGAAGTGCCTCTAGTGGCTGATTGACAGCCACTAAAGGCAGTCTTAAACCTGCAATGTAATTATGTATTGCTGTTTTGCAGAAACTACAATAATTAACATTGCAGGGTTAAGGGTCACAGCACCCACTCACTGCAGTGACCCTTAATGCTGCCTATAGTGTCCCTTTAAGGATTAAGAGAAGTGTGACTGAGCTGAAACCCTGGCTACTATGGACTAGCAGATGTAAAAGTACAATATTTATCTGTAGGGGAAACCATGTTTTTGCATGATTGTTGCATGGAACGATAAAATCCAGACAAACGGTTTAATATGGGTAGGACAACCACAGGCACACACTGAAATAGGACTCCACAACTAACATATTATACAGGAGGCTGGATCTAGGTTTTATGCTGTGTGCATAGATTTTCTATGCTGCATGTACAAAGAGGTGACTGAGGGTTTGAGCCCCGATGCTGAAAAAAAAAAAAAGAGGAGTACAACCCTTTGCTTTATGGCAAACAGGAGGCGGCGGCCACTACTCTAGATAGGGACTGGGACACTATAGCATTGGGTTTTTAATCCTAACCCTATAGGGTTCCTTAGTACATACATACATACTTATGAGTCTTGTGTTTCTTTTGTAAGGGATCATTCCTGGTGTCTGTATTTATTGAAGCAGAGAAGTTATGGTTTTGTAGCACCACACTATTTATTTGTTTTTACTGTGTTTGTGTACAAGATACATGGTATTTTATTCGACTAGTGTAATATTCAGTAAAGTGAACGTTCCCCTTAAACTGCAGCCTGGAAAACACACCAAATCCATTTCATGTTAAAAGACTGATTTATAAATAAAAAATTTTATTGGAAGTCTAGTACCGCAGATCTAAAACAAATATTCCTGTGTTTTGTATTTACAACAAACATTACTCAATTGCAATCAATAAAATAACACAATTTTATTCAAAACTACTAAAATATATATTTCGGCAACAAATGGAGCACATTCAACCCAACCCTCCACAAAAAAAATAATTAATTTACAATTAAAACCGTGGATATTCCTTGTAAACGATGCTGTTATATTGTGCAGCATGGAATGCTGGAAGCTTCAGTTTTACAGAGTTTCTGCTATTGTTTGAGACTTTTTAAAAGTGCCTTCATCAAGACCAGCAATTCCCCCTTTTTTGAAAATGCCTTCTAGACGTTCCTGTGCTAAACGCCAAATACCACGACTGGGAAAAAGTCGTACCTCTTACATGTACATTATTGGCAGACAACTTTAAAAGGGACTTGGGCCGAGCCCTCATTTAATAAATTCTATTGATTATCAATTTTATTGATTGAACTATTCATTTATTAAGCAATTCTACGTCAAATATAGTTACAGGACACCAATAGTCCTTTGTGAAGGTACATTGCTCTTGGCTGCTTTTTACAGCAGCCATCTTGGAGGAGGTAGAAGTGATCTTTAAATAGGTAATTCAATTTATGTGTCCCTATCAAAAGTGGACCCTGTCACCCACGTTTTTCAATGATAGAGTCTTATAAATAATTTCTCAATGAAAGACTAACTTTTTTTTTTCCTTCTTTCAGTTGATAAGTGCCATCAGGAGTAACTACCAGGTAGCTTACATTATTAAAAAGTGCCTTGTTGCTTGGTTAAACCATTGCAGTAGTTTGTAACAAAGTCTAAGACCGTATTCCAATTGCTATATGCCAGGTAATAAGTATTCAGCTCATTTTTAAATCAGGGAAATTTTGACTCTCACATTAGCTTTGAGAAGCAGGATGTCTGTGCCTCCAGTGAGAAGCTTGGGAGATACAGAGTGTTTGGAAGTGTTCTTTGTTTGCACAAGCAATTTCAAAGTCAATAGAAGCATATTACTTTCAGGATGTTTGTCAGAGAACAGCCAGCCCCCCCTCACACCGGCTGGTAATCATGTTGCTGATTTCAGTCCAGGAATCTGTGTGTGGATTATAAACCTCCACAGAGTCAGATGTAACTGGAGCCGAGAAGTTCTGAACGGTGGCTCGACCGCCTGCCGCATACAGCAACCCATTGACGCTAATCACCGATACCCCCGCTCTGGGCTGCTTCATTGATGCAATCTCCACCCATTGCTCCTACAAACGAGAGGAAAGAAAATCACACTCCGTGTTATACAGGCCCTGGCAGGAAGGCACGTCAGGCCTCGTAATAATGTTTTTTTCAGTTTATTCACAGTTGGGAAGTGTTAACAAGCATAAGCCTACAAACTGTGAAAACGGAAATGAATTTCTTCTGACTTCGTTAACGTTATCATGAAAGCACCATAACCACCTACACACCTAGCATGGAGGCCATGGTCAGTCTCACTTTAATTTGGTCCTTATTACTGCAGAGGGTCATGCAAAGCGTGCTCTCTCTAACCATTATGGAGATATAGATATATTAAAAAAAAAAAAAAATACAGAAATTAACTTTTTGGCAAACTAACAGAAGCCATAGTGAAGCTTTTCGGTAGCTTGCATCTTTTCACTGAGCAAACTGCTGGCAATGATGTACTACACATCCCTCAAGCCTCAGCTGAATATGGTTTATAGCTGACCTTATTCTGGCCTTTGCAGAAACTGTAGATTTTTAGTAAATGGGAAAATTTACCCTTACTATTGGTAAAACCCCAACTAAGGCTGGCATGCACGGTTTTACTTTGGATATTCAGTATATTTTAAGAGATCACACACTTTGTCGGCATCCGTAGAGTATTAAGGGGTACTGATGCTTGCGTAAACCCCCCACTAATCTCTGACAAAGGAATTATGGGAGTTCTAGTACATCATCATCGGGGGACAACCTCGTTTTAAGAACCCTGTTCTAAAGTATTTGAATAATCCCACATTTCTGGAAAGGGGAAGTTAGAACTTCTTAAATGTAAAATACAGAATAAATACACCGAACCATAATACCTCTTCAAATGAGAACCTCTCCACAATATTGAGCGCGTCCTGTCTCTCGTTCCAGCCACCCACGGCATATAGACAGTCATCTAAAGCCGCAACCCCCAGGTAGGCCCTACAGTAACGCATTGGCGGTAAAGAGGTCCAACGCCTGGCAATGGGGTCATATACCTCGGCAGTGGTCAATTCTATCCCTTCATGGCTGACACCACCAACCACATAGATAAGTCCTAAAAAGAGACAGTGCAGTCTTGGTTAGACAGTGATTTTTACACAATAAGTGTAGATTGATATAATAACAGAGGAAATCGTGAAGTGTGTGCAGTATTTATAGGTTTGCATACATTACAGGATGCAGTTACCAATTAGCTTAATGACAATCCTTAGTTATTGCAGTATTGCAATTAGAGTACCTTCTCTTTCACAGCAGGCAAAGTTATATCTGGCCACTGACATAGTTCCTATGATC